TTTATAATTGCACGTCAAGCCATCTTGCCATGACTGAAGTAAACAACGAACCAAGTACAATGTACAATAGTCTGAATCATTTCACTAACAAAAGACAAACTTTGAAATGGAAAAAAACGCAAATTGTGGCAATGAAAATCAGGAAATGTAAGAATTACGCAAATTTCTCCCCGCGTGTAGCTACACGTAAAGCAAAATAGCACGTTTTAATTTGACTTGCGTAGGCGAAAACGTCAATGAAAATAGAACCTCTTTACAATCTTAATGTAATAAAGTTTAAACTAAGACAGAGTGCAGAAAATTTTCCCAATGAAGACGTTACAGTGTTTCTATCAAAGCATTCATCGAGACGTTTTCTTGTTTTGTCGTAGCTATATGTTTTCAAGATATTTGTGATCGATAAATATCTTATTTATGCTAGGAAGTCTGCCTTAATAAATTCCGAATTGTTATTGTTATCATTCGACTGCAAGATATACATCTACAAAGCAAAAACACAAAAATGTGGAACGCGTTATGAAGTGGCAAGAGTAGAGAGGAACTTCCCATATTACTACGTAACGCTAACAATGTACTTCAACCGTTATCAAATTGTAAATTTCAGCTCTCACAAGACGATTTAATATGTATTTCAACATTAATATATGTAAAAGTAATTAAACGAAAACTATTAATTAAGTATTTAAAAGTTGCAAATAAATCCCAATCAGCAGCTACAACTACCTCAAGAAACGTTACTATTCCTTTTTAGTTTAGTTTCGTCATTTTTTTACATAAAAAAGTCAACCATATACATCGGTTTGTCTCGGGTTCATGTCTACCGATATCACTTTTGCTCGAATATTTTCTGGGTTTGGTAAAATGCCGACACAGTACGAAAAATATGGAGCACCATTTCGCTCCACAGGGAAATCACACTTACAAAGTAAAACTTGCGATAAATCAATCGCAAAATGGATTAGTCTCGTTTCACAGTTTTTGATAAAATCGACACATGCAGTGTAGCATCTACACGTACAGTGGACTTTGCTCGAAAGATTACACAAACCAATAAGGATGCGCCATTCATTCATTACTCTAGACCTCCAACAGAGCAATTTGCCGTACAGCTGCTACTTTGCTCCGACGTTCGATTTGCAAAAATAGGCGTAGTTTATTTCTCATTATGCATTCACGATTTTCAAATAACATGAAATAATATTTACGTTATTTGTAGCACGAGATCTCATGGCAGCAGGCATGTGCGACAAATTATCCGTCATGAAACTGTTGTCCAATCACAAACGATAATAAACTTTTCAGCCCACTCACTGCTGTACAATAGGTGATTTAAAAACTGCATTTGAATGTTCAGATATATACAAACGCAGTTTCAACGTATTATTAATAAATACGCTTTGGAGATTATCTGCTAAATACCTCAGCTGGTTGTTTGTATTTTGTGGGTGAAAATCCACGTCTTTATATGATTCGTGTACATTCGTACATCATTGAAACAGATTTCACGGAATTATCTCTTTCATTTTCATACAGCACATTTACGTTATCGGTTCGTACGTAGAAAAGATGGCCGAAGCGGATTGCAATAAGAATGAGTCAGATACTGAAGAAAAGACACAGGACGAAGAGATCATTTCGCCAATGGAAGAAATAGCCTTTCGAAAATCCGAACGTATGAGGCGAGTTCGATGGTCAGAGGATCTTGAGGAAATTCGCTATTTCAGCGCAAAACATAAGAAAGAAAAGAGACGCATTAGCTTCGACTCATTAAGTGAACAATTCAGAAAAACCGCCACTTGCAACGGTGGTCGGCGATTTAGCGACTTACCACTTTCCACGATTGGAAAATTCAAAGTGTGGTTAGATGACAAAGATTTTAAATCTGATGTCGTTTTGCTTGGTTTAAAGATGAAGTCGGCGTTCAAAAAAGCTGACTTCTACGACACCGAAAAGGATTGGGAAAATGACGATGTATTCACAGCCGATGTAAAAAACGTTAAATTAAATGGTATTCAGCGCAAACGTTAATCGTTTATGCAAGCAAATTACATGTGCAAAAATTTCATGCAGCAATTTGAATGTACACAAAACATATAAAAAGTTTTATGATCGGAAGGTTGAAACTAGTTATTCTTTCCGATGAGGTGACACCGAAAAGAGCAGAAACTTATGCCTGGAATATTAACTTTAATGTTTTTCGCGGTAAAAATTTGTTAAATAAAAAAATCTTAATCTAATGTAAACCTTTGTTTTGCACAGACAGTGCCATGCACTCAATTTTCAAACGAAACGTAAATACGTGTTTTGAAAAGCAGCTGACAAAAATAAGGTTCTATGCATAACTATAAAAGACTCATTTCGTAAATTTAACACTTCTAAATGATTTCGATAAGTGTACATAAAGTGTAATATTTTAACAGTAAACATTTGATGTCAATTGATTGCAACACGTCGAAGGATGATTTATCTAGCTAGCTACGTGTATACTCTGGCATACCTTACAACCGTTGCTTGTGCGAAAGGTTTCCCTGGAAGCTGTTGGGAATTCAATTTCGATTACCGTTGGGGTTTGATAAAACAATTCGTGACGTATTTGTAATAGCGCTAAGTTGAGAAGGGAGAAAAATAAAAGATCAAAAGAAAATGGAAACGTAGCAAGGACGAAAAATCTTTTCGAGCAACCAGAGTCCGTCGAACTCGAAATTTGTTAATATACATTTGGAATAGAGATTTTAAAAGTTTTCTTTGAAGTTTTGCACGATATTTTGAAAATATTTTATTAAATTTCCTGGCATGTAGATTTTTAGTTCATATGTTGTCGCGGAGATGCTAGCTTCTTGTCTTCATTAATATCGTAGTAATTAATATAATCTTCAAACTTGCAGCTTGTCGGTGAAATAATATAGCTATCGAATTATAAGTCACAAGAATTTTTTTCGGATGGTTTAAATCTGGGTTTGTTATTCATTTTGATTTATCGATATGTATAAATATATTTCTGTAAATATGTAAAGATCTTCCAGATTGTTATATATTTACAGAAATTAGTTGAATTTGTCGATAATATATAATACCTAAATATATAACAATCTGTAAGATCTTGAAATAAATCAACATGGACAATATTTTTCTTATGTTGCAAACGAATTTTCTTCTCTACTTAAAAAACACTTTGAAATATATTTCATAGTAGTGGCAATTAGCGTTTATTATTGATTATTCATGCTGGCCTGCTGGAACAAAAACAAACGTCTGAAAAAAAAATTCTTTTATATCTATGTATATCTATGTATATCTATGTATATCTATAAGAATGTTCTGTTATAAGTTTCCCACCAGCACAAAATTTTTTTGTTGTATAACACATAATAGATCTATACACAAGGCCGAAGGCATTCTTTAACATCGAATACAGTGCTCCCGGCATCAATTTTTTGCGCAAAACATCCTAAAGGAAAGAATTTTTAAAGTCACCGCGAACACAGAAATCAAGAAAATTGATTGGGATGGGTACGTCGGCACGATGACAAATGACAAAGCGATGTCGAAGAAAACGACTGAAGAACCTTTGAAATAAACGCCTACAGGGATGTGAAGTATTAATTACACACGGTTGGCAGCAGAAATTAATACTCGTGGCGAACAATTTGCTGTACGTACAGCTGATTTTCTGTTCGGACGTTCACACTATATTGCGTTTATTGCTATAGCGTATACATGGTATAAGTATTAGGCATACGCCGATATAAGCAAACATACGCCAGGAGTACGTTAAGCATAGGTCTTATAAGATTTGAATCTCCTCTGTGCCGCTAGCTGTTTCCTTTACCCGAAAAAAACACATAAATTATCATGAGTGACATGCACGTAAAACTTATATGAGCTGAAGTGGTCTTCAAATCGCCGAGAGGTCTCAAATAAGCGACGCTGTGATCTACAGGGCGTCCCCCCTCTCCCCCCCCCAAAAAAAACGGAACCGACGTAAATAATTATATATTTGCTAAAGTTATTATGCACGACAATGTAACTAGCATTCAAAATTGTTCAATGAAGATGACAGTTCTGCGCTTATGGTAGGATTTATCAGGGTTCGTACAGTATTAGTTTAAGCAAAACAGGTTAAAAGTACTATCATACACTGATTTTTATCTCAAAATTTGTCACGCATAAAAGCTTTGTAAAATCAAAGCGTCATTAACTGCGTTATAATAGCCACAAAAACGGAATCATACTTTCTATAAGTTGCTACGAACATGGAAAAGCGTATTAATAAACCTATCGGGACGGAACAAATAGCTATAGCCGTTTAACTATATTACGCAGGTTTCATTTTAACGCATGCATAATTATTTGAGTGGGTTCAGTTTTCTTGAGATACTCTGTAAATATGGCCATTTTATGCTGTAGTTACGCACGATTTTGTGCGTACATAAAACTTAATGTAATGATCACCATATGAGACTTTTACGTTGCTATCATACGCAGTAGTGTGAAGGGATTATAAACCTCATAAATGATCACCATATGAGACTTTTACGTAGCTATGAAAGGAACTTGAGCCTCATATTTTGCCACAGTTTCGAACAGAAGAAGTATTTGAAATTTCGCAAATATCGTGTGAAAACGTCTAAGAGAAATCTCAGAACCCAAGAGCTAAGGCTCACCGGAGATCACTTTTTACTAACCCGGTAGAAAAGGTGTGATTTTCACGCAATCTGATTCGCTGAGGAATGTAAACAACAATGTAAACAAGTCGCTGATTGGTCAAAGAATTTTTCGTTTATGTTGAGCATCACTGGAGGACATTATTTAAAATGAGTGCGTTGCCACAAAACATAAATTTCTTGTTAGCAGAAGTTCTTGAAAATAAAACCAAACTTGGCTTATGAGACAAAAACATTTGGTAAAAGTTGTTGCCTATATATTTTGCTGTCTTGAACGTAGCCAGTAAAGTCGGACGATCATAACATAAAATCTGCGTAAAAAACGACCTTCATACATTTCAAACTAAAACAATAAAAAGGGTTTAATGGATCATTCATAATTCTAATAGATCTTATCGAAGGATTTGTCAAGTCTATATTTATTCGAAAAATTGACTTGATGTTAATTGTAAGAATATGCCTATCATGATTCACATATATTAATCTATTTTACAATAATTTATAAACGTTAAACTTGCTGAAAAGTTTGATAATCTCAATACTTAACAGTATAATTAAAAAACAGTCGAGTGGGTTTTCAGTTCATTCAAAAAACCACATAACAACAACATTCCTATATGCATGCGAGATGTGAATACGTATGTTGAATCAATCGGAAGTCACGTGTCAACCTCAGTAGATAAATTAATACAAACAGCGGCATGTGTACGCATGTCAAACAATGAGCTGTAACGAAAGTTCGTTTCAGACATGCAAATATTTCCATATGAAGCATTAATCTTTAAATTTCACTAAACTACATTTACGCTGATGGCAATTATACATACAATTAGTAAACCATAAAATTTATCTTAAATGATAACACTCCCACTACACCATCCAGTTAGTTCCCCTATTAACATGCGCACATGCGTGTATGCTGTGTAATATTCAACTACTTGACAACAAATAGCAGTTGGAAATCAGATCATTGCACTTATCTCAGGAAAAGAGCTCTACCAATCCATGACGTCATTGATAGATTCGACGGATTCATCCAGCTTGTCAAGACCGAGCGACTTGCGACAGCTCTGATGTTTTGTAGACGCATTAGGGCGCTGACAGGAAGCCGGTGTTAGGCCCGTACTACTAGGCGTACATTTCACAGGTGTACTTGCTGTATTTCTATGAAAGTCACTTTGATGAAGAGGTGTTAAAGTCGGCATAAGCGACACTGGCGAAGGAAGGAGAGAAAAGTTTGGACTTCCAAAAATATTCTGCTGAAAATAATCTGTTGATGGAAGTTGCCCACTCGGGGATAATGCCGCCACACGCGTTTCTTTTGGAGGGAAGTTTGGTGAAAAAGGAGTATTATTGCTGAAGTTAATCGCAGCCAAAGTCGACTGTAAGCTGTTTTTTAAAGGTGTTTTTACATTTGACGACATTTGTTCGGGTGATTTCACAAACTTTCTTTTGCGACGAAGTATATTGGGTAAACGCTTGGAGTTTAACGCCGTAGACCGTTCTTGCTCAGACGTTCTTCCACTGCTACATGGAGTCATTTCATTAATAATGCTGGCCTCATTCGAGGCGTCTTCGTTTACAGAACAAGTTCCACTGGTAGTTTGTAAATTCTCTAACGTGTTTTTATAATGTAACTGTCCACCAGCATTTGTCCAAACAAGGTTGGCTGTTGTGCTGGCTTGGACACATAGAGTAGATTCGGAGGTTTGAGTGGAATTTGCGTGTACTGCATGTGATGAAGCAGGATAAGATGTGTTTGCATCAATTGAGGTCCCGTGATTTTCAAGAACAAGTGAATTGACACCAATACCCGAGCTAGCAGACTCATTTGACTTCCACTCAGTTACAGTTGAGACCAATGAAGTAGAATTGTCTTCACTGATAGCTGCACATGTGCTGAGCAACTGCGACAGAGGCGATTTCTCAGTTTCGCTCGCGTTCGGTACAAACATATATGGTGTAATATAGTTCGACAACGAAACGCTGCAAGGCAAGCTTGAGGTTTCGACATCTGCAGGCTTCGGTAATATCGGACGCAATTTACGATTCGGGTCTGGAGGTAGAACCGTAATGGGTGGGGAGAGGGCAAATTTTGGCTTTGGTATAAGAAAATTCCTTACTATATTTTCCTTTCCTTCATTTGAAATACGCCAAAAGCTCCCTTTATTAAAAACTGCATCAACTCGCTGTTCTTTCACGAAAAATTTGTGCAGGGACAGATTGTGTCGAATGGAATTCTAAATAACATGTGCAAATATTGGAAATAATATCATTACAGGAGCATGAAAATCTTTATCAAAGGAAAACCAAACTGTGAAAAAAATACTTACTGGTCAGCAGTGCAATATTTAGAAATCTTCACACAGATTTCATACGAATAATACTACAACCAAACGTTTATTTTTTTTTCATTTGTGCCTATTTTTAGTTGATGCTAATCCCATCAATCACTTAGTTGTAACCCTTGATTGGTTGGCAAGAGAATTTAATCACCTGACTTAATAAGAAACGCCGTGATTTCAGATCTGACATCAAATCTTTAAAGGGGAACTCCACCCAAAAATAATGTTGGTCTTAAAACTTTGTCTGTCCCGTGAAAATAAATATGCGGCAATTTTTTTGTTTGTTTGATTCAATATTTTCACAAAAAATGAGTTGAAATGCTGCAGCTAGGGCATCCGGTGCGTGGGAGCAGAAATATGTCAGCGGCTTGTATTGACGTCATATCGTCAATTGCTTCTCAAAGCTTTATGTAAAGTCATTGCACAGTCATAATAAACTTGCGTCAAAATGCTTCTCCTAATCACAAAATGTTTCTTTTCGAAACGTCAGAATTTTTTATTCGTAAGTATATACATTAGCAACCTTTATAGCTTACATGCAAGTATTGAGCTGGTTATTTGTATTCTGTTTTAATAGAACGGTTTCACATAAAGGCCATTACGCACAGTTTCCACTACATATAGAACTTGAATGTCGATTAATATTATTTTAAAAATACGAAGGTTTCTTTGTGTGGAAACTGTGCGTAATGCCGTTTGCTTGTCCTCCGAATTCAACCTTAACAACAGTTTCCACTGATGTGAAACCAATCTATTGCCCTTAATAAACATTGAATAATAATAAACATGGTTGTGTAACTCATTACGGTTAGAAAATAATCCTACATGAAACCATTGTAAAAATAGCCTTTCGTGCATAGAATTAAGTTGTAGTTTCCTTGACGTAAAGTATGAACTTATAGTTTCCTAATTATTGTACATAATTGTATAATAATGGATTGCTAGAATACGGAGAGAAAATCTACCTCCTCTCCAATACTGTTACGTTTGCAGCGAGCACTTTGCTCCCGATTGTTTTGAATCGGACCTAAGACAGAAACTTACACCATGGCAACCTTTAAAAAGGCGACTGAAGCGGGATGCAGTACCATCGATTTTTTCATTTGGCCCTCAACCCAGTAAAAAGCGTCTGTCTAGCGAGCATCGTACAGAAAAACGTCAGACTGATCAAGACAAGGAGGAAGTTAGTAAAGCATTTCTTGTTAAATTTTAATCAAGAAAAGTTATAGCCTAAAGTATATTCTAAATATTTCTATTTTTCTATTTTCAGCTTTCAAATATTTTAGAATAATGTTCCTCCACAAGTACAAATGTTTTCTCATTGTTTGAGCCTGAAGCAAATAACAGTTGTGATTTGGGTGCGTCTGACAGTCCTGAAGCATTGCCAACTAATTATTGCAAGCCAGAAACCAAAGATGCATCAACACAGTGTTCATTTGTTGTGAGGAGTTTACATGCCATGGAAGTCCAAACTACACTGTCGATGCTGAATACTGTGGATGCAGAGGTTGAAAAACAAACACCCTCATATTGATCACCAATATGATGTGTGGCATTTGTCTAAATCTGTCACAAAAAAACTAACAAAGAAGGCTAACATTAAGGGAAATGATGACTTGACCCATTGGATTAAGTCCATTTCTAATCATCTTTGGTGCTGCTCTGCAAGTTGTAACAAGAATGCAGAAGAATTGGTGGAAAAATGGAAGTCTGTCCTTAACCACATTTCCAACAAGCATTTCTGGAAGGGGAACACATATTTTCATCAATGTTGCCACCAACAATTAACAGAAAAGAAACAAAGCAGAAGAAGTGGTTATCTCCTACTTCACAAGCATATATCGCTGCAGAGAAGGTGATATGTGACAAGAGGCTTCTAAAGACCTGCCCAAAGCGAGAGCATTTTCATTTCCTGGAATGGTAGCCCGCACTCAGTTAGCAGCATTAGATCACAACAACAATATTAAACATGATAAAGCATTCATTAAGTCAGGGACAAACAAAGGGCAAGACCGTTACAAAATGTTTTTTGCTAAAACACAGAAGCAATGGGTTGTAAAAGCAATGAAAGAAAAGAAAGAGTACCAGTACATTGATAAACTACTTGCGGAGGTTGTGAATGCATGCAAAACTGAGGAGATTGAACTTGTACATCATGGCAAGAATCTTCCAAAGAACATTTCTAAATCATGTCCACCCAGGAAAGAAGTACTTGTAAAGGAACATCAGTCTAGATTTGCATAAAATGTCAGTGGTGATGTTAGCTATGGCAATAGGTTTTGCCATACCCATATAATATGACGTTGAATCAGTGAAGACAACTTTTGTACTACTTAAAAAATGTTCATTCTTAAATATTAACATAGCAAAACCTTTTGCTATAGCTAGTTTCACCACTGCATTACACAAACTATTCATGTAATTAATTATAGTTATATTATAACCAGTGTAATAGCCAAGCCACATTTATAATCATTTCTTTGTAAATCTGTTTTTTTTTGTAATAAATTAATAATAATAAATGTGCATAGCATGACCTATAAATGAGCTGGCTATGCCACTTTAATATTGACATACAAAGTAATTGTAATGAGTACACCTATATCATAAGAAAATACTTCATTCATCAACATAGTGAAAGCCTTCAAATTGAAATTCCTCTGCAAGGCCAGGTGGAGGAAATGTTTCTCTAATGCGAGTAACTGCACATGATGGCAAGATGACTCTCACTTCTCTACCCAAGACACCCCAGCACCATCTTGCCAACTGTCTATATGCAATATGGCGGTACAGTTTGTCCTCGGGCCCATCATATGCTACCTCATATTGCTGCTTTTACTGGTACCAAACTGTTTGTAAAACCCACCTGTTAAGACAAACAGGCTCAAAACCAGGATGTTGTGTAATGCACAAAGGGACTTCGGTGGTCTCATTCGTTTCTACTGCCTCTAAATTTTTGTCACAAATATTGGAAATCTCTTTGCAGCATAAACATTTCTCGTTATTATCCATTATTTGGCAGTTACCACATTGACACCTGAATATGTTAAAAGAAAGGATCTTGAAAAGTAAATGTCAAAACTTCAATAAAAAATTGTATCTTACAATAAAAACTTTAAAATCTAAAGTATTATGTGTGTGTGGACGTGGTCAACTTCAAAAAACTGAAAACGTACTTTTAAGATAGAAACAATGGTCTAGAATAATATAACATTTTACTACCCACCATTCAAGATTGTCGCGCCGAGATTCATCGTCAATATACAAAAATTCCTGTTCGTTATCCTCAAACTGGTGAGCTTCTTCGTGTTCATCAGCCGGCCATTCGGGCTCAAACTGATATGGCCGAATATTGTTTGTTGGATTGTCTTCCATTTCACTATCGATTGGTGAATTAGGCCGAGGTTCTTCCAAAAAAGCCATTATAAGCGATTGTTTTGTTTTTTGTGCAAGGCTGTGCGTTATTATTTTACTTTGTTGTAAACTCAACACCAAATCGGTTTGACGATATGACGTCAAAATAATTTCCGCTGACGCTTTCTGTGCCCACGCTGCTAAGCCTCAAAACAGCTCAAATAGCGCACTTGAAGACGCGATTTTGTCAAAAATAAAATAGCTGGTGTAAAAATTTCAAAAATATAGTAACCTTTGCATAAAAATGGAACTTTTAAGACCAACATTATTTTTGGGTGGAGTTCCCCTTTAATTCTTACCGCCATAGATACAACATCACTATTTACGTATGTCTTCAAAACTTAAATAAACCCTTCCCACACGTAATATCAAATCAAACTTTAATTTATTTTTTTTTAAATCAGCAGCAGGCGGAATCCTAGCGTTTCCTGCAATCTGATTGGCTGCAGCAGCAAGCAGTTTTATACGATATCTTGACCGCAGTCCGGAATCCAGTAGATAAATACATGAGCAAAGAGTTGTTTTATTTTGTTTAAAAAAGAAATTATCGGCGAAATTTAATTGCCTATTTTAAGAATTAACCTCTTTTAAGATATTCCTACTTGATAAAGTTAGTTGAAAATTAGCGCTTAATTTGAATTAATGACAGAAACAAAAAAAAAATTACAGCATAATTTCAACTATCAGCTCAAGTTTTTTCACCATCGAAATCTGTCAATGCAGCTCAAAAACATCGTTTGACTTTCATAACACCGAAATATCTCATTTGAAACTAACCATCTCTTTGAGCAAAATAATTTTTTTAGTGGGATTGCCAACTCGGCCCGGAAATCAGCGTGATAATGCATTCCACTTTTTTACTAAATTCGAACTGATGACTCTCGCGCCTGCTTTATATAGCTTCAAAATTCAGAACAAAGGGGAATGTTTAACCGACCAGATCGGGCACAAAATTGCATATGATCACAATACTCAGAATTAGGAGAACCCATGATACCATAGGAACTAAATCTAGTTTAAATTGTTTGGCTAAATAACCAACCTCTACATAGTAAGTATAAATGAAGTATAACAAACTGTAGATTTAAGGTTCTCTGGTTTTTAATTTACAATAATTTTTTTTTTATAAGGTGACATCCTCTACATGTTTATCTTGCACTTACTTTCCATCCTTTCTTCGCATGCTTGTAATACGGGAAGTTTTCTTCGATCCATGAATAGATACCCTGTAACGTCATTCTCTTATCACTGGCGCTGTTAATGGCCAATACGATCATGGTGGCATATGACAAATGAGGTTTGGGGTACGGATTATCATTTTCTTTTTCAACGGTTGACGTGTTGGAGGAATTACAGGACGGGAGACATTTTTGCGTCTTCTCATTTGTAATCTCGTTCGATTCCATCTCACAGAGCCATTGAATGCACGTCAAGCTATCGTCTAAATTTTCATTCTCCATTGCCTATTGAAAAACAAAATAGTGTTAGAAGACGGTCATTTACGCAGTATGCTAAACTACATAAACGTACATATACATCCTCATGTGTACCACAATATTGCAAAGCTTAAGGTAGTGTTGGCTTGCACGTTCTTCAAATAGGAGACGAGCAATTAGACATTTGACAATTCTGGCAGGATCTCAGTTGACTTGCCAAGATCTTTGCCATTATGTTTTGACAAGATAATATTCGTATGTATGACCTACTCAAAATTTCCTGGTGATACGTCATGTCACTGGCAAAGCAGAGAAAGTGAATGTCAATTGCAGTTTAGCTGACACCTAATGTTAACGGTCAGTAGAAAAGTCCTGCAGGCTCAGAAAATCAAAGAGGCATGCGAGGTCAACTTTAAAAATTAAAATAAGAGTTTAAGGTTTTATCACAATGACGTCATACCCGTGTATCAATAACTGTATAGATAAATGTTATCTATTTGTTAAACATATAACAATATCATGTACATATATAATCAATATAACATTCAGTTAGGATCCACAGCTGAATTATAACATTTTCACAAGGCTAACTCCATCAAGAAATAATTATCACTTACAATGTAAATATAGTGGATTGCCTAATCCTTGGCCCTACTGCACAGCAGTAGATGTCTTTTCTTAATTTTAACAAACATCTTAGTGCCCATTCAAAGCAAATAATATGCAGCTACCAACTATATCACAACACTGGTACATGAACAATCTTCAAGTGCTGTATTGTTCTTAGGACAATGCGTAGTTTCAGCCTGCAGTTGTGAGGGCTTGATAAGGAATTACTTAGTATTGCCGCTTCTGTCTCTACAAGCTACAAGGTTTTCTTAAGTTGAAGATTTGTAATACCACATAATATAAATCAGAAATGAGAAAAGTGAAGTTAACCAATTTATGATGTAGATTTTGAATATTCAATGAAATGAATAATAACATGTTCTAAATGTTCACACTACGGAAAAAATTTTCCATTGTTTTCGAGAAAAAAAATTTTCTTTCGTGCAAATTAATTTTGAACAAAAACCATACATTACATTGTAGATCACAGAATTAAAATTTTCAATGTCATACTTGATGTTACTGTAAGTAAAAGTACATGTGCTTTTCAAATAGCCTGAATATAAGTTAATTGGTACATACATATTTTAGAGGTATGAAACATCAAAATGATCAGAAATCAAGAAGTCACCTTTTTTTACACATGTAAGCAATTTGAGTAAAATGTGATATTAGAGAGAAATGAATATCAAAATACAAATAACCATTACAGAACCTAAAGCATGTTCATTTTGGTCAAGTATACAAAGTTGATTTCAATGTTAAATGACTGTTGCCTCAATATGATTTAAATCGTTACCAGAATTATAACAAATAAAGAAGTTTTGTGTGCAAGCAAACTAAACTGAAAACTCTAACCAGTGGCATAGCAATAGAAGATGCCTTTGCTACAATCAGTGTGGGACTGAGATGACTGTTGTCACAAAACTTGGCATAAATAGCCTACTACATGATCTTCCAATACGAATTCACGTGAAAATTGCAATCATTAAACACTATCCATTTCTTTAGAAATCTTAGCTTTTTAAAGCAAGGGAACACCAATTAAATATTTGCAATAGTACAATCAAACTTGCAAGCTGGTTTTTCTGGAGCACTGATTGATGATGACCTTTTTTCCCATTGATCCTTAATCTTTACTTATATGTACATGTATTTAACAAAATATACCCCTCAGGCCATTGGGCCCCTCAGTTCTGGAAGGACAACCTTCCTAAACATACCCAATGAGCACAATGGGCAAATGCCACTACATCATACCGCATTTAAGTAACAGACTTTCTTACAAGAACATGGTTTGCAGTGGCATAGTCAACCTGTAAATTTAGTCTTGCTACGAAAAATTTTTTGTGTGTAAAAACAACAGATTTATAAAGAAATGACTAAGGATAATGATCTGAAACAGATTTTTTGTTTTGTTTACCTTTTGCTATCAGGCAGATTAACCCAAGAGAAGTCAAACATAGTTGCCAATCTTGTCTGCCAACAAAACGTAAACAAAGCAAGGGGTCTACTTACATAGCTGGAACAAAACATGCAAGCTAGCTACACAACTGGGAGTTAACAATCTTTAACAACAAACTGACAAATGATGATGCTAATCGTGCTGTAAAGTGTAAAATACAACATGTCATATATGTTGTTCAGCATTATTGGAGAATTTGCTCAAAACGGGAAAACGTTTTGAATACTTATAGCGTCATAAAAACAACCTCAATGAATTTAAAACAAAACTAAATATTTGTTTACCAATAAACCTCGTTTGATGAGATAAACTAGAACATTGTAAATTTAATTAACACAATGTATATGAACAACATGCATGAACTGTGTGTGAAAAACACTAACAACAACATTTGCTAGAGCTGGTATCGATGTAAAGCTTAAATGATCCTCCAGACAAATATTATACAAACGAAAGACCCTGTCGGCTGGGAATGCACAATCCCTTAACTTTTTGAGATAATTTCCCTTTAAAAGAAATATTTGTAAACATTTTCACATACCTTCCGGTTGCTTTCAATATAAAATAAAATGAATTCCTATCGTACCGCATAAGCGAAATAAATCTTCTTTACGCATCCAAAAAATAGTAGAATAAATAAAAACTATAAAGACTACAGTTGGTACAACTCAACTTTGAATAGCCATTCAAAAATAAACCAAGGCTCCAATGAATTGAAATTTTGATTTTTGAAGTTTGAGCATTGAATTCGTAGGCTTCGTTGAAAAATTTAAATTGCTATTTGTAGCCAATCACATGCTGGATGTCGTAAAAATATGGTTTTCTGGATGCTTCCCATCTGCCAAAAGGCGATAATGAAAATCCAGGTGTACGCTCACGACAAGCATTTCATTTCAGCGACGGACGAAAATAATTAAAAAGAATTACTATTTAAATGATTTTTGGCTTTCATATATTTTTTAAAAATTCCTCAATAACCGCGTTGTCGACTCGCTATATATTGTTAAGAATTAGATGATATTTTAAATATGCTAATGCTATAGCGTTTCGTTTTCACGTCATTGATAATTCCCTTAGTCATTCTCCCTTTGGGACTTTCCCGAAGTCCACGAGTCATTCCCCTAGTCGCTACATTACGTTATCTATGTAAAACAAGTCAACAGCAGGGAAAGAATCAGTGCATTAGTAGCGACAAACAAGAATGATGTTTGACAACTTTGTTGTAAATATGACGGCGTTGAATACAAAGACGCTGGCCTTGGTAATGATATTGTACATTATTCTACACGTCACAATATGCTGTCCAGATGATCAATATTATGACAGTTTCGTTGATGACTGTTTGGATTGTCCCCTCGCAACTTCTCTTTGCTCCAAAGAAGGGCAAGATGAACATTCTTGTCGAATGAAATGCATCAAACATTCAAGTAAGAACCATTTGTGAATAAACAACTTTTTCAAAAAGAATATTGATAAAGTATCAAATAATAATAATATCATGGCGTCTAATATCATGTCGTGAAATATGGTGTATGTTTTGTGACGTGGAAGGGATATTTGTGACTATGTAAGAGCAGTGTCTGTCAAGAAAAATAGCAAATATCTAACAAATGAATTGAATGGTCCATTTCGTATTTTTATTTTTTGTTTTGTATAAAGTGGATGAGATAAGTCTTGCTCATGATGAGCAAAGACTTTGAAAACTAGGGAAATCCCACTTTTTTGACACAATTTATATTTTTTTATTATAGGTGAAGGGAAAAATAACTGGACATTTGCTATGGGTCTGGGAATTTCCCTACTGTTAACGGTTGTGTTGGTTGCAGTAGTTACTTGCTTGATGTGCAAGCGGTTGAGAAGACATCTAGGCATCCAAGAGGTAGACGAGGATAGTTCAAATTTAACCTATGAGACTCAAGAACAAACTGTTCAATCAGCATGAAATCATTAAAATTGGAAGAAAGACGTTCTATTATCATAGAGCAAGCAATACTTTGGACCATTAGTGGATTCGAATTTTGGAAAAACGAATTAAAGCCGCTACTTTAAAATGAAAAATAGCTTTATAGCTAAGCGATACCGGAAAAGTTATCACGTTCTTGTTAGAAGAGTTCGATCGGACCAATCAACTGCTTGCTGTAATATATTTTTCCTAACCTTGGATCCATCCCTGCTTTAAACGGCTTTAAGAACAATGACAAGGAAAATAAAAATCTACCTAGTTCTTGGGGCTCCTAGGTTTGTACTGAACGAGGTTGAGAAAACATATGATTTCACGTTTATATTTTTCTATACTCTCCATGTATAATCAAACTATTTAAACATAATCTTAGCATCGAAGATTTTTAGAAAGTCTTATAAAAAAATTGTAAATAACGATATGTAAATATAGTGAAGAATTATTAGAATTATAGCTTATTTACACGGTATTAGATGATAAATATAAGTGCAACCAAATATTATTTTGTATTATTATATGGGAAGAATCACTTCCGGCAAAATGGCGCAAAATTAATTATCCAGATGAAACAATTTGAAACGATTTATTTTTTATGAACGAAAACTAGAAAAGTAAAGCCCTCCCGTAAAAAACAGCAAGGACGAGAAAGAAAGCAAGCTTCGTTTCAGGTCAAGTAATACCAAGTAATAATTCTTTTAATAACCTCGCTTTCTCGGTCTATACTGAGGAATATCGGAACAAAAATATCTCGGTCCGTTATTTCTTCGTGAAGACCTAGAGCTCGGTTATTAAGAGCTTATTAATTGTTGTAAATTACACTAAATTTTGGATTAATATCTATTCACTATACGTAATAAACAATAACCATTACCATTACTATTACTATTACCATTAGCATCATTACCATTACTGTTACCATTATCATTACCAGGCGCAAATGTCATTGAGAAGATTTTCATGTTTGGTATTTGCAATGGCCGTAGCTGCAATATATGCAGTATGTATTATTAATTTCAATTGCATTTACTGTGCTCCTTGCTTGGGGATCAACTATTGCTAAATTATGTAAATTCTAAATGTCGGCTGATTTCGAAGATGAGCGAATTTTCGAGACACTCTTTTCATATATATATAAGCCCTATACCTATTAATCTTCTGATGGCTTTGCTGTGAAGCAATCTCCATAAGCATGCATGATGAGATCTTTTTTCGCTGACTTTATCTTTATGGATATGGCCTTTATAAGTGACGTCAGGGAAATTAAAACACTGTTAGGGACAATGAAATAGATGTTATAGATAACTTGCCTTGTTTACTTTTTCATAGCAGGAAGATTAATCCCAACAAGTTTTGAGCAATGTTGCTATTGTTGTTCAAAAGTAATCGACTGAATCCCCCAGAAAAACGTAAAAACGTGGGCTTCTTTAACAACTTGTTGAAAAGCCTAAATATATAATATTCAAGGTATATAACGTTCAAAAGATGCTTTTTTATCAGTAATTTTCGTTATCAAGTGTACATGATGAAATTATTTTTACCATGTCTTCTAGATTTTTCTTTTCTCTAGAAAAGTTCTTTTAGAGTTTGCTACGAAGTAGGGAATCTTTAAGAGCCTTAAATATTGTACTGTTAATATATACTTCGCTTAAACTGGGTTGCGTTTAACTGCAATGACTTCAAACATGTCTAAAAGTGAAATACTTTAGTCTAAAAGTGAAATCGGAAACTTCTCTCCGTGTTTTCGTTCTGAGTATATGTATATTTTAATTTTTGTTTTGAATATGTTAACAATGTACCATAATTCGACACATCAAAAATGCTACTATACATTTTAAAGTGAAAAACATAGCGTTAAACCATACAATTTCACGTTCTCAGATCCCCCAAATCACCGTCGTATACGTAAATCTAATCTGAAATACATGTACGATGTACAAACCCCGGCATTTCACGTCATCGAGACGTTTCATTTCGTGTGCTAAAGCCTGGTTCACATATGCCTGCGGTGTGCCTGCGAAATGACCGCCGACAAGACCTGCGCTTATTTATTGTATATGTGAACAATCGCTCGCCGGTAAGGCAGGTTATCTGTGTCAACATCGGCGGCCTGCCGGGAAAGTTGACTAGAGTTCAACTTTCCCGGAAAGTTTGCGATATGTCTGCGGTATACGGCGGCAATTACATATATGTGAATGGTCCGCCGGTATGCCTGAACGATTTGTCGAATCCCACAATGCATCGGTCTGATGTGGATAACATAGCGGACGAAATAGCAAAACGCACAATACAAAGCACCGAAATGGACGAAAATAACAATTCAGACACCAATGAAGTTATTGAAACAGTCAAGAACAAAGCACTTATGGATACCATACGTATATATCGTGCTATATACGATAAATCGTGTCCAGATTACAAAAATCAAAGGATAAAACAAAACGCTTGGCAAGCTGTGGCAGAAGCTTTGGAATTGGACGTTGCAAGTGTGCAAAAAAGATACAACACAATACGAACAAATTTCTCCAAGTACATAAAGAATATTAAGGGAAAATCAGGCAGTGGTCGGGCAGATATTGAAATCAGGCCTGATTTAGAACATCTGCGATGGTTAATTACACATATTCGACATCGTCAGACAACAAGTAATTTTTCAACTTCCACGAACTATCCTCTTGGGCAAACTTCCCATGCATCAATAGAACTAACTGATGAGGGAAGCGAATCTAGTAAGGTTAGCACGGTGTTTGTAGACGATGATTCGGACGATATATCAGCTAGTTTTCCTGATCAAACCTCATCCAATGGAGGACAAGACTTGGATGCAGATATTGGTAGTGGTAATAATGATGCTATACAGATGGTCAAAGATAGTAAAACGCTTGGCAAAAGAAAGATATGCTCATTAGAAGAAGAAAAATATTGCAGGCCATGGGCAAAGAATAAAAAAGTTAACACAGCACTTGGGTTTGAAAAGGAAGTCATGAAGACCATGCATGGCATCAATTCCGCCATATTGCAACTTTCTTCTTCAGATGCTGACATGGGAAACATTGCCAAAAATGATGAAGATACATTGTTTTGCTTGAGCTTGGTTTCCAAATTCAAACGCATCCCAACTTCACACAAGTCTTTGCTCCAGCTAAATATTTTGAAAGTGATGAACGAAATGGAAATGGAATGTAATGCCCAACAACAGGCCACACAAAATAATCCATACTTCTTCTCACCCCCCAACCCATGGATGCAGCACCATAATTTAAGTCAGCAAAGGATGAACTTCAATAACAATCTTGACCAAGGAGATTGTTAGTTTCTTAAAAGAAGTTAAGAACTTTAAATAGATGAATTATTATTGCTTGTTTACAAATTCCTCCCTTTACATTAGGGTTTTCAGGATTACATATTGACCCAAATATTGTATTTTGCTAATTTCATATTTAGCTGATAAACATTTCAGCATCTTTTTCCACAGTATCTAACATAATCTAGCTGCCAGGGCAAGGCTCCATAGTTGCTGTTAAAATATTCACAATAATGCTCTCTCACAGACTTTGCAGTAAATGAATAAGAATTGCTCCCAACTCGTCGAACTGCTTGCAAAGTGCTCTCATTCCCTTGCGTGATGTGTCTCCATTCCCCATTAATAATATTCCCAGATCCATCTTCAGCATCAGCAAAACCTTTTGGAATATAATATGCGTTTTGAGTTAATGACAAATAATTATGCGTAATGACAAATAATTATGCAAGCATACAGTTGCTTGAACAATAAGATCTACAGTTGTAATTGCAGCTCGAATTGGTCGTCTATAAATTCTCCACCTAGCTGCCAGTATTCCAAAGGTGTTTTCAATGGTTCGTCTGCATCTAGACAATCGATAATTAAATATAGCTTGTTCTTGAGTAAGACCTTTTCCAGGAAATGGTTTCATCAACCAGGTTTTCAACGGAAAAATGTCATCTCCAGTGATAACATAAGGCAACATATATTCACTAACCATAGACGGTCCTGGTATGCCAAGTTGCCCATTTTCTATTTTTTATTTATCTCAGTTTGTGAAAATATAGCTGCATCATTGTCACGCCCGTAGCTTCCAATGTCCACAAATAAAAACCTATACTTTGCATCACAAATCGCCATGATCACAGTACTGTGATAATTTTTATAGTTGTAAAAGAGAGATCCAGCATTTTTGGGACAGTCGATGTTTACATGCTTTCCATCGATAGCTCCAATACAATGAGGGAACCCCCATTCCTGAAGAAACTCTTCTGCAACACCATGCCATTCCCTTTCTGACTTGGGAAGCTTCAAGTACTCATCTCGTAATGCTTTCCAAATTGCATCACAAACTTCTCTTATGATCATACACACTGTGCTTCTACCAATTCGAAAATTGAATGATTGGGATTCTTGTGAGTCACCTGTGGCAAGATATCGTAGTGTAACCACCAATCTTTGTTTAATTGAGATTGTTTCTCTACTCCGGCAACTTCGTTTCTTCATATATGGAGCAACTAAACTTAACAATTGCTCCAATCGTTCAGGACTCATTTTTGTGAACCTTGAAATAAAAACGTGTTCATCTCAGTTCTAGTAACAAGTTTGCACACAAACGCCTGATAACATTTTCAAATATAAAACTCATATAATCGAGCAATGCTCCTCGCATAAAATACAGCCCTATACCTGAAAAAGTCTTCACGATCATGCAACTGTAATTCTTTTAATAAACAGTGAAATTGACCGTAGTTCTTGCGTTGTTGTAGCATTGGTCTCACCCAAAACCTTCTTTTCCTCTTTTGTGCTCGCATTTTTCTTCCCTGCACGTAAGTATTTACCAAAGTTAACAGTAATGAGTAATTTGAAAGAAGTAAAGAAGTCAAGCGTCGTTTATTTACCGCCATTTTTGTTTTGAAGAAAATTACCACATAAAGAAATCGCAGGCAAGTGCAGAGATACCGCAGGATACCGGCAGGCTGCCTGCGAAATCATACCCAAATCATACCGCAGGAAAAACGCAGGCACACCGCAGACATATGTGAACTAGTCTTAAGGCATTCTGATGTAAAGCACCATAAGTAACTTAAAGTGTTTCCGACCCCATAATGCTGTTAAAGTATCTACAATATTTAGGTACTTTGTCTTATCTATTACAACAGATACTCTACATAATATAAGCTGGACAAAAATCCAAAGTATTTAAAATATGTTGCCATATCACGTTGTCAATTCTTCTGTCACTCCTCTGTCGCTCTTTTGTCCATCCCAATTTCCAAGTGTTTTCCTGGCGACGGGGATTTCCCCTTTCTTTAGCTTCAAGAAGTTTGTCTTCAGTAGATGACTCCAAATTAATATTGACTCTTTGTTGATATTTTGACTAAGAGTCAATATTAATTTACTTTGTCAAAGACTGAGCATTGAAACAGCGAAACCATATATACATTCGTTTCCAATAGTTTGAAAAACTTACTATCTCCCTATTTTCACGTTTGTCGCCCACAAAATTAGTCAGCACTAATTAATTTATGCAAATAATCTTAGAGACAATGTCGCATTCAACAACAAACATTCGAACACTTAACATTATAAATGACAGCTAAAACTTTTCTCTTAATTTCATTCTTTATCATGACAATTCATGGCACCATAAATTGCCCAGAAGGACAATATAAAGATAATTTTCTCGATGATTGTCTGGATTGCCCGAAAGACGCCTCTACTTGCTCAAAAGAAGGTGAAAACGCTGAAGCTTGTGTCTTGAATTGTATCGACCGTTCAGGTACAAATTATTTGTTAGTCATGGTTTGTCCACTGTTCAAGAATTTTTAAAACTCATGTTTTGTCGCTATAACAAAACAGACGTGCAACTTTGAATTGTTGATGATACGGCCTTTATGTAACATCCATTATGAAAATTGAGCGACTTCTTTTGACAGTGTTACATTGCCATCAAAATATTATATATATATATATATATAAGTTTAAAATTTGTAATCCAGGCATTTAATATAGATAAAGTTTCTCCGGATTTTAAGTGATTTTTATTGAGCTTTCGACTCGTTGCTTCGAGCCTTCATCAGAACCAGGATATTTATTTATAAATATCCTGGTTATGATGATATTTACAATAAATATCCTGGTTCTGATGAAGGCTCGAAGCAACGAGTCGAAAGCTCAATAAAATCACTTAAAATCCGGAGAAACTTTTATCTTTATATACATATATATATATATATAATAATGATAAGGATTCTCTGGATTTGTTTTAAATTTTTATTAAGCTTTCAACTCGGTGCTTCGAGCCTTCGTCAGAATGTGACAATATATTATTTACAAAGATTATTATTATTATTATTATTAAGATTATTATTATTATTTATTCGAGCATTCTGACGAAGGCTCGAAGCACCGAGTTGAAAGCTTAATAAAAATTTAAAACAAATCCAGAGAATCCTTATCATTATCATAATATGCCTGTTACTAATTTTCAAATATATATATATATATATATATTATGCATGTCTAAAGGTTAATCCTATTGGTAAATTAAAACATATATGGTAGTGGTGGGAGTCACGTGAGTACTATTTTCATGCAATGAGCAGAGCATTTGGAAATCTCTTCTTTTTAAAATTATCTTTGTCATTGACAGATTACTTAACTTTGAAGTTGGCATAAGGAGTTTTGTAAAGCTTATTCGCCGTACTTGGGTTAAACGAAAACCACACATTTGGTGACCACCGACCAGGCTGGAAAGTATGTCTTCTGCACACCGGAGATCTTTTTTTAATAATATTATTGCACACCAGGCATATTTGGGCGTGGCAAAATTCCGCCATATTTGTGGGTGTGGCAGGGTAATCAATAATGCATGCAGTGCTGAGTATTCCTGAAATAATGCAGTAGTTAACTTTGTTTAAGCTTTTGCGTGTTTGTTGAATAGTTTGCAATGGCAACAAGCATTTCCAATTACAGTGTACATTTACAGTGTACAGATAAAGTAAAAACTAAAAGATAAAATATCGCATTTAAAACTATAAATCCTTGAGTGAGTACAACTCCGTCATAGTTCACCAAAATCATTTTCATGCAAAACATGTGGACATCGAGGAGGCTCATGCCTCACTCTATCCACAACTTTGCTCACTTCAAAATTTGAAGCTTTGTCTTCTTTAAAATATGGTAGCCGATGCTTTGGTAGCTTATAGTCTTCATCACCGTTTGTATAAATTTCTGCAATCGCTCTCTTGGTACGAGGACATGAAACGGGATGGGGAACGCACCAATGTACTATAGATCGATGAACCAAAACCTCATTAGATTGGCCTCCAGTTTTCTTGTGAGTACCCATAAGACTATAAAGTCCTTCTACTATAGCCTCACAACCACTTGTGGAAAGAGCTACGTCAAGGGCAATGCACATTTCTTGGCCAATTGACTTTATTATATCTTCATTTGTGTACATGCTGGTGTACACAAATTCTTCGTTGATCTTTGCTTTCACTGCCTTTCCGGCAAAGAAAAATGAGACAAATTCCTCATTATCTTTTGTTTTTAATGCATTCGGCACTTGTAAAGTTTGTCGTTTGAAATGGGCCTAACACCACATTCTAACAACGCATTCATATTTCATAGCGCGTGGATCTTGTAATGAATACTATAAATACTGCTCTGTAAAATAATAAAATCACTTAAATCAGTTCGTTCATTTACGTTCATTCATGTTACTCATGACGAATGACAAGAACTCAACATGGGGACGCATGCTGACGCCTGATGCATTTGCTTTGCTATATTTTGAGGAAAAAAGAGGATTGTTCAAAGTATAAGCCAACTACGTTCCGTGAACGATAATTTAATTGACAGTTCTGTGCAGCTGTGGCAGAAATTTGAGATATTCACTTCCAATTCAAACGGAAGTTATGCGTTGAGAAATGACATTTTTATAAACAGTAACTTCCGATATTTTAATAGCAACAAAGGCTTACAAAGCAAGATTCAGTCTCTTGCAATATCACACACTGTATCATCAATATTCCTTAAATTACTATTTTTTCTTCCAAAGATTTTGCGACATACAACATGTTTGACACAACAAAACACTGAAAACAGCCTGTGTACACCGAGATTAGCGATACGTCGTATATTAATTTAATATTGTTATGCTTTGATCGTCATATGCGCACCAGTGCACCATAAAATTTATTTTGCACACCAGCACACCAGTAATTTCATAGTGCGCACCGGAGATCTCGTCGAAAAACGACATACTTTCCAGCCTGGACCACCGAAATAACAAAGGAACGAATATATTTCTTTAATATATACAATCGATAGAAGTTACCTTTTTCATTCAACAGGTGACAGCAACAATATTTGGATATTTATCTTGGGAGTATCGTTGGCGGTGTTGGCAGCTGTTGTATTGGCTTGTATAATCTATTACAAATGTAAACACTCAAATAGGCGTACTGATACTACTGCGCTGGGTAATAGTGCCGCAGGGGAAAATCCTTTGTTACCTGTTAACAGACATGACGAGGAATCTCAAGAACATATTGATACACCTGAGCCGTCGATGATTTCAGCCGAGGGGGGAAGCCCAAGTCCTTTCCCAAAAATTTCTGTAGAAAATGACGAGGAATCTGAAGATACAATCCCTGAAGAAAATAATTCGTCGACTGCTGTAGAATTTAATGACGAATCTGAACAAAGTCGTGCGGTTCAAAGTAATGATTTTGTCCTTGATAGTAATAATGCAGCACAATCTTTGGACATTCATAAAGACAACATACAAGAAAGTAATGAAATGGCTTCTTTACAACAACATATGTAGTAAGAATTTTGCCTAATGAAAAAGACCTTTTTTGAATGTTATTTTGCGAATGTGGTTTAGTTTTCAAAATTTGTAACGAGTATGTTTGTGCTGTTGAATACATCGCAGAACTTTTTTCAATCTGTGTAAACTTTGTTGTGAGAAAATTTATTTCAAAACTTTTAATATTACCACAACAAGTCACCCAATTTTCATGCTGCTTTCTGTTCTCTCATGTTTTTGTTCTCCACCTTTTCTTCTTGGTGAATACTTCATGTAGCATGAGTATAACTAATGCAATCCTATAAAGAACATTCCTTCAATCCAGAATGCATACTCTAACACAAAATGGAACTGCTTTTAAAAAATGATACCTAAACTTTCATAGGTAAATGAATGCTTGCTCATCCTCGAAGTCTGTCCTCAACTTGACTCTGCCAAATCATCAAATTCATAACTATAAGGTTATCGTCAATCTTTTTGTGATAGAACTACAATCAGGTCTGGATGTAACTCAAATCCAACAATGATTTCATACTCATACCAAGTCTCATCAAGTCTACGGTCCTGACACAGTTGAGTTAACATTATGAAGCACTGTTCGTTGGAATTAGACTGCAAACGTCCTGTTTTTTCGTACTCCTTCTTTAATCAACGTTCATTTGCAAACCTTTTACCGCTTGCATAGAGAATTAAACTCCACTTGTATAATGTATCTTCTACACTGTCAGAACACCCTATGTGGGCCCTGGAAATGTCTCCCAACTAATTATTTCGCCATTCCTTACTGATAATACATTCACTTTTCCCCACGGGTTTCTTCACGTGGGAGTGATTCATATCGATGTTTTTTTGAAGATTTGGTTTCACACTGAATGAAAGAAAACAATTTCTTTGTAAAGTCGTTTGGTTTTTTCCCTCAGATGGCCCAGTTTCTAAATGCCAATTGTATTAGATTTGTTTTGACAAAGGAAAGCAACTACCATACTGTTAATTTTGGGGTTTCAAGTCAACACCGAAAATGTGTAAATGGAAATGACAAAGACAACACCTTTTTAGGTGCCAAATTTAACGCCTTTAAACAAGTGCTATATTAACACTTTTTGCGGGTGTTAGATGAACACTGTTTTTGTATCAAATTTCATGGTGCTTAATCAGCACTAATGTCGGTGTTAAAACAACACTTTTTGTGTAACACTACCTAGTGGTGTCAACTAGCACCAATGAAGGTGTAACTTTGACACCATAAAATCAACAGTAAACACTTGTTGTTGTGCTACAAGTTGTTGTATTGTTATTACCACTCATTTTTTTAGAATTGCGCAAGAGAAAGCTAAATGGTCGAGAATAAACGGTCACTGCATGTGTTCATTTATGATTTCGGCTTTGCCCTCAGCAACTATCACTTCATGAAACTATGTATCGAGCTCGTAATCTTATTGGTGAGTGAAGTCTGGCTAAGCGCTAAATGTTATCCATGGATTTGAACTCTCAATGTCGTAGCCAAAATCTGAGATACTATCCAGCAGGCAGTGATGTAAGGAATGTTTTATTTCAGGGAGCAGAATTAAATGTTCCAAAAGAAGGGGATAATATAACATTTTTTTGATTAATCCTGTAAAAGTTATGATTGTTTTACGTTATTGCTGGTGTGTATTAGCTGACTATTTTTTTCTATCAAGTATACATTGCCGTTCAAAGTCAGTTTCACCTGACCTTTTCTGTCGTTTAGACAGTCTATCTTTCTCAAGTCTATTCTGTTTAGCAGAGACAGTATCCTCTGACCGCTTTCTTTTCATGAAATCATTCACTTTTCTAAGTCTGATTTGTTTCTTAGAGTCAGTTTCATTACCTATTATTGGTTTTACATTAGTTTTTGTAACATGAATGGGGTTTCCCATAAATGGAGTTTTGTAAAATGAATGGGGTTTCCCCTAAGTTTGGGGCTGTACCCAACAATTTTTTGTAATTTGCATGCCGCTCCCTTTATCATTCTACAGATGCCACCCAGTCACTCCCACAGTCATTCCCCCCGCCTACGCCTGTAGTCAGGCAATCATTCCCTTGGATTTGTTTTTCCCTTTTTTCTTGTCTATAGGTAATGAGTTATAAATGAAGTTAAAGTTGATAATACAGTTAGGCACACTGCTACGTGTGTTAACTCGACTCTCTTGGCAAAGAGTACGTCATTATGAAAATAATGCTTCATAAATACGAATACGAGTTATGATGGCGTTGAAGACAAAGAGGGAAGTTTCAATAATGTTAATGTACGTGTTTCTACATGTTACAATAAGCTGTCCCAATGACAAATATTATGACAGATTCCTTGATACTTGCTTGGATTGTCCCCAGGACACTTCCAGTTGCTCCGAAGTAGATGAAAGTGCACAATCTTGCAGAGTAAAATGCATCAAACAATCAGGTGAGAACCAATCATGAATAAACAACTTTTTAAAAATGCATATTACATACAACTCTTTTACCACGAATAATGATCATACAGCACCTAATCTCATGCCGAGTTATATGTTGTATTTTGTGTGACAAAGTTAGTGTAATATTTGTCAAGTACGATGGTGATATCTTACAAATGTCTTAAATTGTCGTATTCATTTTTTATCATATTTTAGTATTTCAAACCTTTGGGGATTCCCAATTTGACACAAAGAATCTTTTTCATCTTAGGTGACGTCAAATATGACAGGTCATTGCTACTGGCTTTAGTGATTTCATTGCCGTTGGCACTAGTTTTTATCTTGGCTGTAGCAGTTTCTTGTTTGATGTACAGACGCATGAAAAGACGTTGTAAGAAATTTGGCATCCAAGAGGAGAACGACGTTTTTGTTACTGGCACTCTTGAAGAAGAAAACGGTGAATCTCCTGAAAATCATGACAGTGGAAGGGAACATTCCAGCATATTCTCACCTAATTCAAGCAATACTACGGACCAGTAACTGATTCAAATGTTACGAAAAATAAGTTTCGTTCTAATTTAAATTCAAAATAGCTTTATAACATTGTCAAGTTTATAAATTCTGGTGAAAATAGGCTGTTGAAATTCATTTTTCCAACGCTGGGTCTACTTCTATTTTGATCTGCCTTAAGAGCAACGAGTAGAAAAGTATGTGGAATAATGGAAACCCTACAGCATTTTGTTAAATATGTACTAGTAAATGTATACTCAGTTAAAACATTGTGATTCTACCAGTATTTTGTTCTACAGTGTATGATGTAAAAGAGTTTACCGAATTTGATGTATAAAAAAGTTCTTTAATTTGTCAAAACACTAGAATAAAAAGGTCTTTATAAGTGAACCATTCAAGGGAAAACCCCACTTGATATTTTGTTTGAATATTTGATATTTGGTTTTTGCGATCATTAATTAGAAAATACTCACGTTCATTTGAAGTAATTAATTAAAGACTCTGAAAAATGATGTTCTGGAAACCTTGTCAAAGCACACAATTTGACCTCATCAAACCATAAAAATGCAGCTTTGAACTTAACCGGAAATACAGGCACGCAATTCCAACTGTGTGTAGAGCACCAAATATGAAGCACATTTAGACATTCCGTCATAGTCGTTCCTTATTGCAGGTGTTCTCTCAGGCTGTGATGGTTACAGTGGTAATTCCCCTTTTTTGGGCGTTGAAAATAATGAATTTGTTTTCTGGCAATTAACAAACCTAAATTTAATGTTTACACTAAACGTCCCATGCCAAAGACCAAATAGAAAATTAGCGAAACCATTTCGCTGGCTTATCACAGATTCAGCGAGGTCATTTCTATTAGCTTTATAAAATTTCTAACTCCCTATTTTCAACCGCCCACGAAATTTGTCAGCACTAATTAATTTATGCAAATATTCTTCAATACAATGTTGCATCAAGCAACTTATATTCAAACACTTGACATCAAAAATGACAGTAAGAACGTCAGCGTCGTTCATCTTCTTTTACATGTTTTTTCATGGCACAATAAGTTGCCCAAAAGGCCAATATAAAAATAATTTTTTGGACGATTGTCTGGATTGCCCACTAGACCCTTCTAGTTGCTCAAAAGAAGGTGAAAATGCAGAATCATGTAGATTGAACTGCATTGGCCGTTCAGGTACGAATTATACTTCTTAATACATAACGTTTTATTGAATTTTAGTTCTGTTTTGTCCAGTCGGATTCAATACAAGTTTTAAAACTGATATTCTGTACTTTAACAAAGAACAAGTACCGCTTGGCTTAATGTTGAGTATTCAGCACTTCTGTGAGACGACAAATTAATATCTTCTTGTGACAGTACTTGCGTGATGTTTATAAAAATGCTAGACATCAATCATTAATGTCTTTAAAAGTTGATATTATTGAAATTAAAAGGTAGTGGAATCACGTGGGTATTATTTTCATTGATGCGCAAATAGTATTTAGCAATTGATACAAGTGATCTTTTTGTCAGACAGATGACAGCAATAGTATTGGGAAGGTGATAATAATTTTGGGAGTTTTGTCCGCGGTGTTGACAGCTGCTATATTGGCTTGTATAATATACTACCAATGTAAACGCTCGAAAAAACATACTGATATCAATGTGCCGACGAGTACAGAAGGGGGAAACCAAAGTCGTTTGTTAGAAAATGATGATGAATCTTCAGAACATGTTAATACCCATGAGCCATCGACAACCAGAGCCGAAAGAGAAAGCACAAGTGGCTCGTTACCTGCTGTACAAAATAACGAGGAATCTGAACATCATCATGAGATTCAAAGAAGTTTTGTACTTGCTATTAGTGACGCAACACGATCTTTGGAGTCTCATAAAGACAACGAGCAGGAACGTATTGAAATGGCTTCTTTAGAAAGTCATATGTAGTCGAAATTTTTCCGGCTAAACAGAATTTTGCTTCAATAATATAGTTTAAACGTGTTTCAGTTTTCAATGTTTATGGAGAATGTAAATGCTGTTAAATGCACAGCAACACTTTCTTTAAATGTTTAAATTATATTGTTAGGATATACATTTTAAAACAATCCGTAACAACATATCAAGACCCCAAGTTTTTAAATTCTACCTTACCTTTTGCTCTTCTTCCGTCTTTTTCTTGTTGCATCATGCTTCATATATGAAACATGATATGAGACATACTGAAATAACATCCTTACGAGAGCACGTTTTCTTTCCTTTCAGACTATATAATACTACCACAAAATGAGTTATTTCTCAAAAATACGTAAAATTTCAGGGTCATTATCTTCTTACTCATACACGTTCATTAAGAAACTTTTTCCTAATGGCATTCCAAATTAAGCTCCACTTTGTTCAATGCATCTTTAAACACGTAAACACCATATATGAGCTCTGGAAAAATCTCCTAACCAATTTTGTAGCCTATCCTTTCTGATGTTGCATCCAGTTCTCCAGGTCTAAATCGATGAAAATGGGAGTTTCGTCCATGTTGCTCAACTAGAAGTGAAGATTTGGTTTAGAGGTTTTAAAACTTTTGCTACGCAGCTAATGAAAGAAGAAAGCTTCTTAGAAAAGTCATTTGCTTCTTTCCCTTTCAGCCGTTATCTAAAAATACTAGCAAATGAAAATGCCTTCTAGTAATGGTTGGCTTTCGCTTCATTTAAAAAATTTAATTGCCGAAAAATTGTGTATGCTTTATGTTAAGTGTCATTTGAAAAATTTCGTTCGCCAAATAAAAACAAAAAGGATTTGTGCAAGTTATTTTTTCGTTCGCAACTGTTGGCCGTGTGTTTACATTTCGCGGAAAGACTGGGCGCTACTGGCATCCAAATATCGACTGAGGTAGCCTTCCATCTATCTAGTTCAATTGTTTAGACAACTTTTGCTCCTTGCTTGTCTTCTACCTTGCAAACTCCTCAATTGAAAAAAGGCGAGAATGAAAGTGTATTTCAATATTCTTTTAAAGAATTATCGCTCAGTAAGATAAGCCGACGGTATCAAGTATCAACGTCAATGTCTGCATCTTTTAAAAAAAACACGAACAGCTCATTTTGCGAAATTTTTGGTAAATTAAATTTATTTCGTGATCGTCATTTGCTGTAATATACTTTCTTTTAAAACAACGACACTGTGTAAATTACTGTTAAGAAAGGCACTTTTATTTTTGGGGATAATTAGTAAGAAATTAAGTCAAGAGTAAGTAACGAAATGACTACTTTAGAAATTATAACTTGCAGTCATGCATCATATGATAGTTTGTAAATTTTTATTTCCAACTAGGTTAAAATCTTCCTGGAAGATGGACAGTTATTATGTGCTGCTTTTTTTGCTCCTACTCTAGTAAGGAATAACTCCAATTACGTAATCTGCAACATGCAAGAACCTCACGTAATGCTTCCATTTCTAATAAAGAATTGTCATAAATATCGAACGAATGGAAATTTTTCATTTTTAAAATTTTGCGGCCAAAGGGTTTGTGACGTCAGTGGTAGTGTATATGTATATTCGATGTAGTAAATTCTACTATTTAAATGTAGTGTGGCACGACAACAAAAGCTTTAAAGTGGCTGAAATTAGCCGAATCACAGGAGTCGGAAAACGGACGCTGGAAATGAGAATGAAATCACTTGTTGGGAAGAAGATAAATGCAAGATAGTGAGAAGAAGATCTTATTGTACGTTTTCATTTATTTAGTATTCCTCCTATTTTTATTTGAAATAGGAATAAGCTATTCGGTCATTAATGGGGAAGGAGTTAAAGCAGATGCCACGAGCTTTTCAGTATTTTCAAATAACTAGCACCACTGCAAGTCAAGCCAAGTGATTTAATTCTAATTTCCAGCATCCGTTTTTCGACTCCTGTGATTCGGCTAATTTCAGCCACTTTAAAATTTTGCTCAAGAAGAAAGCTAACTTTTTCTTTGTTAACATCGATTGAAGGTAGCCCACGACTTCGTGTTTCACATGGTGAATATGCAGTCGCAGTTACCTCATTAAGGCAGTTATAAGCCGTGTTTGGCAATTCCAAACATCGAGACAGAGGCTGATAACTATGGTTTTGATCATATTATCCTTAAACAATCAATTTCATCTGGGTTAGATATTGTGTCCAATCTTGTTAGCACGTTCTGGACTACTTCTAACATTTCACACAAATCTTGTGTAGATACATTCACTCTCTGTCGTTCCCCCTCAATTGAAGTTGATAAGCATAATAAGGAGGCAATAATGGTCCTGCAATGTAATTGAGAGAAGATAAGCGGAATTATGATATGGGCAGGGATTTTATTGTATTTTGAGACTTCAAGACTCGAGTATATATGCTCAAAACCATTCAAATAAACATAATTGATACCTTATCTTTTGCAGTCAAACTTTTCCGGACAACAGTGTTTGTAAGTTTGCATTCCTTTAAGCAGGACAAAAAATTTTTGACGAAACTGTTAGGTCTGCAGCTCCAGCTTCTCGATATTGTATTTTAATGTGCAAAAATGGAAACTTCGTGACATTCAAATTGCTCATAGTCAAGTTTACGGCGGCCATTATTTACATGTGAAAATTCCACCAGTCTGCCTGATTGCAAGGAATGTTTTGTCAAGTCCAACAATACATTTCTCCGATATGGATAATTTTGCCCTGAAAATGGTAGATTGCAAATGCAAAACCCCTGAAAAATGCGAAAATGTTTGTAATAGCAATTCAGATATGGGTGAACTAGTTGAAACAGTAAAAGAGTTACGGTTATCGTTCGTAAATATTGTGCAATATTCGATAAATCCTGCCTAATGAGTAGTTTGAAAAAAGGAAAGAAGTTGTTTTTAGTTGAAAAAAATTAATGCTAGATAAAAAAAAATTGAGCGCAGACACACCGCAGTTTAACAATTGGTTACCATTAGGCTATCGGCACAATTATACTGGAAACACGAGCACACCGCCAACATATGTCAACAACTTGCCTTTTATTTGGGTTAGCGTATAGCACTTCACAGTCAAACCTCACACACAGTTCTGCTTCTTTATTTAATGACCATTTGTACATACACCGTGAGAGGAAAGCTATTTCAATTCCTTTCAGGAAACAACAAAAGAAACAAGAAAAATCCCATGAAATGGGAAAAAATTGATATGCAAGCACATGTTAAATTTTGATTGTTCACGTGATGTCTTGAGATTCAACGTACCCAAGTGGCTAGTGGACGCATATTTAAGTAAGAAAAAATATAAAAAAGAAACGTTGTTTTCAAAATGATTTCAATTGTTCCTTAATTTGCAACATGGTAAATATTTCTTCAGTTCTTATTCTTCCTGTTGCATTTAATCATTCATCTTTTTTATATTTATGTATGGAAGTATACTTCGAGGGGTATATCGACTGATGTTTTTGTTTTGAAATAGAATGAGCAACCCATTTATTTGATCTACTATTTACGCATATATTACACATTCCTAGAATGCCATTATGCAATTTGCATTATCAATTCTGCTATCGCACAAAAACTCTTTGTTAAGTGATGAATTTGCAGAGATACTTTTTACGCATTTAACTCTCAATGAAGAAGTCAATGTTATTTGGAAAGAGTCGATTGAACTATTTCTTTATGATTCTTTACAATGGTTAAGTGGAAACATATACAGTCTGCAAACATACTGACAAGAAGATAAATTTAATTGCGTGGGATTTAAATATGTAAAAAATGTGAATATATTCTACCACAATAATGTGTGGAAAAATGGAACGCTTAATTTAAGAGCGAAAAAATAACTCCAATCACGAGAAATAAAGCTTATTTAGACATTCATCTTTAATTTCATTCAATCGTTCATAGGTGTATAATATTTTCAATGGAGCATTGGAGAAATTTTCGAGAATCGAGAATATATGTAACGATAAAAGTATTATGACTCTTTCGAATTAACACAGACAGACAGTATGCTCGTAGTGTCATGGGAGGAATTCACAATGATTCATGTATAATGCCTTCAATAAAACATCAGAGAAGTGCTCGAGAATTTATAAATATAAAAAGGCTATGACCCGTTTAAATTAACCGAGGCGGAGATAGTTGTACGCAAATAGCGTCGTACATGGGAGGAATTCAAATTCACCATCATTAATGTATAATGCCTCAAAAGAATATTGGAGAAGAGTACTAAAATGTATAAAGATAAAAGTATCCTGTCTCCATCGAATTAACACAAACAGATAGTTGGTATTCACTTTGGTAAATTATTGGGAAGAATTCAAAATCTTAACGCCATATAACCATAAAAATTTCAAGAAGGTAGGTGCTCATAGTATTTATATATATTTAATTATTTCCAACAGAAAATAGCATTTAACACGTGAAAATACACAAGTATCTAAAACGAATTAGAGTATACTTATATATATGAGTATATTCCTAAAAGTTTTGAAGATCTATCACATAAAATGACAATTTATCAGACTTTTGAAATTATTGCTGATTCATTCTTTTGAAACTATTTTGCTGACTATATTCTACGCACAACAGATCCTATTTTTGTTTGATTACCTCATGAGATTTTAATAGGAGGTTATTTTAATACATCGCTTAAATAATTTCTTGTTCATACATCATTTGCCTTAGTCATCGCTTGATCAGCAAAACGAGACGATGAACACAAGAGGCGTAATATTTATCCTGTTCTTGGTCCTTCCTTGGGCATCATGTTGCCCAGATGGTCAATATCTGAGCACTTTTCTTAACGATTGTGTTGACTGTCCCGTCAACCCCTCATCTAACTGTGCTGAAGTTGATAATACTGATGTTTGTTTGACAAGTTGTAAGTCAGGTAAGAGTTTAATTTTGTTATCATAATCGTCACAAAGAACAGATTCTGATTCCATCAAAACTTTTTGAAACGAATTAAATTTTGAAAAATGCTCGTAAAATCATAAAATGACCATGATTCAACAGATTTTTGTTCAACGCCTACATATTTAAAGTACATTCGACTTTATTACTAGTAAAAAATACATTAATTTCGAATTTCATAAAGAATAATACGAATTATTTACACATGCACACCGAAAAAATTTCATGAAGAAATGAAGACTACGTTAACTATTAACAGACAGTGGACACGCATAAGAAAAGGGGGAATTCCCTACACACATGTTGCTTACGTATTTTTAATGATTTGCAGACAAAGATGAAAAAGATACTGTGGTCATCTTTGAGGGGAAAATTTCTAAGAATATCACGCAAGAAAAAAATCATGGCAAGGCCATAACCCAAGAAAGCAACACACCAATGGCGTTGATAATCTCTCTAACGTTGACGACGATACTTTTGGCTGTTCTGATAATCTATTTGAAATATCTCTGTAAGAGAAGAAAGAGTCAGTCAGTGACAACACTGGAAAGTTCTGTTCCTGTTGAACACAGAGATAGTTCATCGAGTTTGCATTCACATGAAGAAAGACATGGTGATCAAAGCGACGACTCACGAAGTCCTCACGAGAATGTAGATGCAAGTACTGCTTTCATTGACGAGACTACCACAAGTTTTGTAGACATTTCACTAAATCCTGGCGAAATTGAGCCAAATCGTGACAGGAATGTATCAAGTCTGGATGATAACATTTCATACCAAAGTACACATGTACCTCGAGATCTAAATATCCGGAAAGATCAAGAAAGAGAAACCTTTATTAGGTAAATGGAAGCTAACATTTATTTTCCTTTTATTTATTTACTGGGATTGACAATATTGTAGATTATAAGATAAATGTTTATTGTTATCTTTTATTGATGACAATTTTGAGGGTATGTAAATGAGAATATATTATAATTACGTGATATATAACACATGAAATGGTGAACCTGGTTTTATGGTTTATATAAATTTTTTAATAATATGGAGATATTTTTTAGATTAGACTGCTGTTAAAGGTTGCTATATGCATTGAAATTAAGCTTGATGTGTATATTTAGTTATCTTGAAGAGTGTTTTTTTACATATTCATCTTTACTTCCACGCTTCCATTTCACATACATCTTAACCAGTCCGAGACTACATAAAAAAAAACAACACATGCTATAAAATGCTCTCTAACTCTTAGAAAATTCTGAGTCAAGGGATTTCCAGGAATTTACAAATTTGATGTCATGAAAAATATTGAGTAATCTTTGACGTTGTACTTAACAGATTCTATTGATAAAAATATACATGAAAAAATTTCTCTATTCGGATTGACTAAGAGCAGTGCTATTTATCGTATATACCAATGCAAAAACCTGGAAACGCAGTGCACAAAAAAGAAAATACAGTGAAATTTATTTTTGAAAAATATGCTCTTGGTTGATTAGTCGAACAAAGAGTTGATTTAAGAGCCAATCAAAATAAAACATTTTAAAGGGGGGAAAGTTACATTATTGTAAAGAAAATAATCAAAATAGCTGGAGTAAATTTCAAGTAGATTTTCTTTGGTGACGAGTTCATTATTCACAGCTTGCAAGATGTTTGTGGATAAAAATATGAACAATGATAAAAGTTTGTTAGTCTTTAAAACACACTCGTGCATGTTTTACCCGAATTGCACTCATTACCATTCAAATACCTAAACTGATAATATTGAATGCAATTGGCTTATGCAAAGTTCGATATTTTGTCTATTTTTGATTAAACTTATTTAACCTAAATTATAAATACTAGCTGGATATTTTTCCAGTCATTATAATACACAGTTTTTTTAATGTACGTGAAGGTAATAGGAGATATACTCATAATTCTTGCGTGATGATGCTATTGATGTACAGATTGTTGAAAAAGAAAAAAAATAAAGGTAAGGATTTAATACACCCTTCATTAATCTTTCATTTTGCATTATTTTTTTGATACAGGGTTACACAATTTACTAATTTAACAAACCTCAACAAAAAGTGTGTTATTATTTCGATCATCATGTGTTATCGAATAAAAGGAGAATCTATTATTTCTTACTCTGCCAGAGAATGTTTTAAAGTAAAAAAGAGTTGAAGTGAAATTGTAGACAAAACTCAAAATTTTGTTATTTCTCTTCGTTCTTATTCTCACCATCGATGTATCATCAAGCACTTTTGAATGCAGTTGTATTCTGTCCCAGGGTATCAAAATTAAACTAAAATGCGCCATCGCTAAAAGCAGATTTGAAACTCCTCGACATCTGTACGGACTTCTACCGGTCTCAAAATACCATGATTGTCAAAGAAGCTGAACTCTTAATAGATCATAAGATTAACTCAATGTACAAAAGTTTTGTAAGATTTAGAATAAAAGAGAAAATTGAGTCCATTCATCATGACCATCTCGTGCTTCTTATTAATTTCTCAAGCATTTGTCTAATTTGCTTTTGGAAAAATCTCTGGCATAAATTTCCTTCATATTCATGCGTTATTGAAAATTTTTTCGATCTCGTTATGGAGTGTTACAAGTACCCATGTCCTATTGTTGATGTTACTTATGATTCATATTACCGAGAATACCTCTTTGCTGACTTCCTTCCAGAAAGTACAACCACAAGTGCGTCGAAGGATTTGTATAAAAAAGTTTAAGAACTAAAAAGGAGCCTTTCCAAACCATATTTCAAATATAAAGTACTGTCATCCATCACATTCAATATTTTCTTCAAACAGCTTTAGAAATCGCATTTCAATTTGTAATTCTATTTACTTCCATTAAAGATAAATTAACAAACACTCAACAATGTTTACTGACTCAACAAATTCCCGTCCCTCACGATTATTTCTTATGCTCTCAAAATCTATACCCAAGATATCTACATTTTTGAATCTTTAATTTTGGTTGTATTTTGTTGGTGTCCTAAACTTGCTCAGACTTTTGTGGTCTTATAATATTTTGAACATGATTTTTCCAATAAAGAAAGATTGATTGGTAGAAATATTTGCAAACTACATTCAGAAAAAGGAGATCTTGCTTTTCCCTAAACCAACTGCATTCCGTGCAGCAAAAATACGTCGTGAAGTTCGCTTTCTTCCTTTTCCCAAGAAATTGAGATCACCACTTTCTTTTGGAAATCAGTAAAGATGAACATGATGAATGAGGAACTTCTTTAAGCACGTTCATAACTTAATGAACGTTTTACGTTTATAATGAATTAATCAGCCTGCATATGGTTTAATCTATGTTAAAATAACTGTAAAAAAATTTGTATTTGCGCATTGATCAATATTAGCTATATTCTTCCAAGTAATTGTATCGCACCTTTCATACTTGACTTTCACTTCTATCATTATATAATTTAATGTTGTCTTAAGAAACAATTCATGATAAACTATTTTTATTTGTTGATAACTTACTTTGAAATTTTGCCTGACTTTTAAGAGCGATTTATGAAAATTTAGACTAACATAAGCGATTTGCAGCCCTGACACTTCTCTTGTATCGTGCTTATATAATGTTCAATGTAGTTTACAATTGAATTCTTAAACATAAGTAAATAACTATAGAATCTCGTTATACACAGTCAAATGTAACAAAGTTTTTGCTCATATTTTTATACTTATCAACAATGTCTGCTAGTTGTTTCTAAATGGGTGGGCCTGTTGTCTCCACTTTGTTAAGGAAACCAGTGAGTTCTTTCATAACTAAACTTTCTGTTTTTTGGTGACTGTTGTCACTCTGCGTTTGTGGATGTGGCTCGGTGAGCCTCCTTAATGTTTTGCACCCTTCGTCACCAGCGTAAACACTCATTTGCTCATCTTCTGATATTTGCCTCTTGTAATCCATGTACTTACCTTCACTATCCAACTTACCAAGCGATGATCAATGATTTGAGTAGATTGTGTTTTAAATATTTTCAGAAAGAAAATAATGTTAGCGCTGAACAGTAAACACGTTAACACTGATCAGTTACACACGCATGCGCATCTCATGTGACTACGTAGTGACGTAGACTGATGACAAGATAGAATTCGAATGTTTTTAATAAGAAGTCAAAGCAAAGATGAGCAAAAATAATCTCAATTGCATTCATGTAGTCATTAGTATTAAATTCATTTAGACATCGGTATTGACATTCATGGTGATTGATATTGGCATTCATATAGTCATTGGTAACATTCATATAATTTTTGGTGATCGGCATTGACATTCTTCCTATAGTCGTTGGTAATTGAATTTACGATGCATAAAGCAATTGCTGATGACATAATATAGTTATTCGTATGGATATTCATATAGTCGTTGGTATTGAGATTTGTTCTGCCATTTGTATTGACATTCATACTGTCATTGGTTTTGGTATTTGCATTTGTACAGTCTTTGGTATTGTAACAGTCACTCATATAGGTATTCATATTGGTATTAGTATTCACATAACTATTGGTATTCACAGTCATCTAATCATTGGCATATTTGTCGTAATAAGAACACTGATTAATCAATGCAATTACATGAATAGTCAAGTACTAATTCAATTCACTTCAGTAATATTCAGTATAATTTTTGAATGCTCAAACACATCGCAGATTGGCTACAATCGTTTTCGCGTGTAGTCATATTGGTGCTATATTATATTGTTAATGGTGCTATAGCGCTGTTATGAACAAATAATCAGTTTCCTTTTTTGTTTCCTGCTTAGCTCAAGATTTTTTTCAAGTTATTTGTGCTTTTTGTCCTTTTACCAGAAAATCAAAAGTAATTGGACTAAGTTTCCCACTTCTAGTAATGCCTGATTATAAATATACAGCTCAAGTGTGTTACTTCGAAACATTTGAAAATGTTCCAAGATTTATAACTGTTTTGATTTTTAAAAGGTGATAATAATTATGACTGTTCAAAAATTGAGTTTTGTTTTAATCTTGACTTCTACATGTATACCACAATATTTGTAGTTGTATTATTATTGTACTTCTTCATTGTGAATTTGAAAGTTTTGAGGTCATTTATGCCGATACCGACATTTCTACTTTAACATGATGTCATTCATTATCATGTGTACAGTCAAAAAACTAAAAGTTACCTTAAATTTACTGTGGGTGAACTTAATAGATGCATGTAAAGTCAGGGTCACTAAAATGATGATAAAGTCGATATCTAAAACTAAAAATGTAATTTTTACTTTCACTTCTTAGAAACTTTTATGTTGTTTGTTGGTACTTTGAAAAAATTTGTACAATAAACTTCAATTAAGCACTTAGGTCTTATTCTACGTATGATTGAAAGTCATGACGTCATAGGGCGTGGTCCTGTATACAATAGCGTGACCAAAAATTTTCTGCTGGATATACAGCACTGAAAACAGGGGCAAAACAAGTTGACACTTTTAACGAAAAATAAATTTTTAATTTAGTTGGTTACTTCATGCAAGAGTTCAGCAACATTGAGTTCTATAAGGCAAAAACAGTACCTATTGTCACATGACTAATGTCCTTACTTACCATTATTAAAATTGTAATATAATAAAAAAAGTAAATTTTTAATATAAATGGAAAATAACTGAATCACTAGTAAAAAAATGAAGTAAGAAAACAACCAAATAAAATTTTGTCACCGTCCTTTGTCATATCCAGGAAATATTTGCTTCAGTGTATCATACAAACACATATTAACATCAAGTTTTGTTTCCTTGTCAAGATCAAAACGACAAGTTGGACAGGTAAAAACACCAGCTTTGAATGAACGGTTCAAGCAAGCCTAAAATGGTGTAAAAAAAATAATACACAAAATCCAAAGTCAAACTCTATGTATAAACAACGATTTACTCATTTAAGTGAACACTTAATACGCAAACACAAACCTTACAAACGTTGTGTTTGCATTGTGTTGTGACTGGCTTCGAAGCCAATTCTTGACAACAGATACAAAGAAAGGATTCCTCAACTCTCTTATGGAATTCCTATAAACATTTGAAAAATATGTTTCGGGCATCAGGTATTGATTACAAATGTGATGATTTCGATGAAGTACGACCATTTCTATATAACTTTAGTATGATTGAGAAAAGATGAATTGCGAAGTTAAATGTAAGAATGATCAACACTTAATCTTGTCACTGAGAAGTGAGAACCCAGCCTTGCACAAATTTAAGACCCTGTTTACACTAAACAGTATTGTTTCGAATTCAGTAAAGTATCCGGATTTGCTGTTTTTGAGCCTTCGGCGTATTGTTTCGGATTCGGCCGTTTACACTTGAGACTTGAGAGTTCCGATTGTCGAAACCTGAGGGATACCAGTTACGACGTATTTTGGCAGGTAATCTGTCCCCCATAATCATATTTTGAAGTATTCTACGCTTTCTTCTGTATGTGTGAAACGCAAACATCATATAAATTGCATTTGTTTTGGATGTCGATTGCATCAATTTCATTCACTCCTGTGTTATCCGCCATCTTGAACTTTTTGTACTCGGATTCGTCCGGTTTTCCGTTTACACGCAGATTTTAGGGAGATGAAAAGTTTTCGGATACAAGAATCCCATAAACTTTTTCGGATTCAGAATATCCAGTTTCCTCTTGCATCCTAAATTATTTTGTATCGGATTAATGACTGCAATTGTAAACGGAAAAATAAATCCGGCATAAAATATCCCAGATTTGCAATGAATCCGAAAACTTTAGCCCTATTGTAAATGGGGTCTAAATGCTTTCCTTGTTGTGATGTTACTATAAACGTTATAAGACAACAAGAACGAAATTAGATGCACACTCACACATCAATAGTTATCGAGTTGAACTCAATTCCATCCTTGTCATTGACCTTATATAATGCTAAGATGTACATCTTTACTTCCTGTGCTAATGTATGACTATATCTGATTTGCATGTCTAAACTATTGGAGAGTACGTGTACGTTACAATCATGCCATTAGTAACAAATGCCATTTATACAATCAAAATGCGCCAAAAGTAATGTTAAATCTTTCATGAAATGCACGTTTTGTGAAAATTTTTTATGCTCGCTGGTGAAAAGATAAGTTGTAATGATCACACAATCCTATCTCTAGTTAACTTCGAACAAAGACTTGAAAAGTGCACATTATAATCTTACCTCCATTTCTCAGTAGTATTGAACATATTTGTAAACAAATAACTTACGGTAATTGTTTTGTAAGACGAAAGAATATCCTCCCAGACTTTTTGGTTTTTCACATCTGACTTGATAAGGGTTATTTTATCTTTTGGTATTGTGTAAGACTTCTTTGCCGAGGGTGAATCGGGAGGAACGTCACTGAAAGCTAAACGTAGATACGTAGGTAAAACTCATGGATGTTAAGTGAATTTAAGAGAAATTTCGATTTCAAACGGAATTCTTAAGCAACAATCATTTCTAGGTTTAGTACAGAAATTTTTATTATATAAACTATAAATTATATTTTTATTGAAAAGGACTTCTTAAATCAAAGGAGCAGTTCAAATGACGCCGGCTAAACGGGATTCAGTGAGGCGTTAAATGTTTCGACGCGTAGAAAGGCGGCAAAACTTCAAGCTTAAAAATTACAAGTGTATGTTAAGCGCCACAAGTCATTTCTGTTGAAATTCTCAAATTAAGCCAAACTGGCTGTTTCAATTTTGTTTTACATAGTTCTTTAATCAGAATGTTGTGAAATTGCTCAAGAAGATTTATCTGATGATGATTATTGAATCATTTCCATTTGCCACAATCATTTAACGCCTCAATGAATCCCGATTAGCCGGGCTCACATGAACAGCCCCTTAGTAGACATTCTTAACTATTTATCTATTAATACTTGCATCTTTAAATAGTGGAAATTTTTAATGTTCCATTTGCAGAACCAGTGACGTTGCATTGCATAACGAGTTGCCGAAATATCTAAGACTTCCTTCAATTTTCTAGCATTTGCTGTAAATTGGCTATATCATGACTTTATATCAATTTCAAACTATCATTTAAATTTGAATTTTTACGTTTCAAAAACACTTTCAAATATCGCATGTTGTTTAAATAGCACTAACTTCTCTTTCGTTTTCCTTTCGTTCCTTTTCCTTCTTGCAGCTTTTCTTTTTCTAACCGTTTCTTTTCTTGTGCTTCAAGATACCCTTCAGGATACTAATATACGAAAAAAATGTCGAGTCGGCAATCAATGGTCAAAGCAAAGTTTCAAACAACTACTGCCTTCAACAAGTTTTATACATTCGTGATTTAAATGAAAGCAGTTAAGTGTTTATGAAAAGGCGTTTAATTTTTATGGACAGCGGTCATGTGCATACTGGAAAACAGTTAAAGAAGTGAGCGATTCGCACCAAAACAGGGTTGAATTGACACGCACTTAAAATATTGCTTAGAGAATTTGTTTGTAAAGACAGAGTGAGATCGAGATTGCGCAAGTTACGATTAAGACAACACAAAAAACATTTTACTAAACAAAGCTAATAAGCAAACTTGCATTTTGACTCGAACCATTCACACGTATTTGATTCTCGAAGCATTACATAATACAAATATTTTTATCAATTTAATTTGCTTGATTCCTCCAAGAGGACTTTAAACAAAAAGATCTTCATACAAAGACATGGCGCACTTTTTCGCACCTAAACCTCCAAATGGAGACTTTTCAAGAACGGAAAATTTCATTCCATCTTCGGACTGGTACAACTTCATGTAACCAGAGCAGCAAATGATCGACATTACACACAACCATGATGTAATACAAACCTGCATTGTCAATCCAAGTTCAGCAATTCTTTTTTTGCCTTCTGCAGTCCAAGGAGCCGGCTCCTAAAGTACGAGTGCGGTGCACTTACTCAAAACTTCATGTAACGTAAAATATTTTCTCCCGACACAAAAACGCAAATAGACAAAATTTTTTCATTTGTTCCAAGTAATACGATACAGTCGATTTACTTCGCAAATATTTAGAAGAAAATGGCTAGTTGATTTCATGATTCTTCTGTACGGTTTGTAACTCCCCCCTGTAAATACAACATTGTGGGAAATACCTCGTCATCACGGCGTAGCAAGTAGCGTCTCACGATAAATCCAGCCTGCCCTTTCTCAGGCCAATATTCAACAACCTGCATGAAACATGGGGCAGGTACACATCAAGTCATTTAGTTAACGGTTAACTTATAGGATTGGTAATTAAGAAGGGTGGGCAAACAACAGCAAAATCCGGCCAATGAGACAGAAGAAGATATATGTGTTTCTGAAGAAAACAATAAATGAACAATAGTTGAAGAAATAGAAATATCTTTACTGTTATATTCTCTGATATGCCATCAGAGAATACTCTGACTGTCGGTACTCCTCAAAACATTAAATAGAGAGCATACGGGGGGGGGGGACGCTGTCACTCTCCACGTTATATAATTCATTAACCATGGCTATAAGGAGATGGACTTAGAACCACCGAGCAGGAATATTTTTGTTAAATTCATTTTACTGAAGTGGAAGCACTAGATCTGTATACTTGGATTTGAAGACAACACTATGGAAAAAATAGTACCATCAGGATAGTGTGTCACTCACCTTATATATTCCATCATATCGATTACCAACTTCGGGTGCATATTTAGAATGTTTCTTGAATTTCCCACTACGAATCTAAAACAGCAAAGAACAGCTACGCATTAAACGTTTACTCGCAGAGTCAAAATAAACTGAGATAAAAAGGTCACGTGAGTTTTGATCTCTTTCAAAACATTTATCTAAACTTTGATTGTTGCATGACGTTCTTTTAGCTTTGATTCACTTTTGGACCTTGAATACTATCGTTCTTCCTCATGACTTTCGATGTGCAATTAAAGGCACAACTCAAAGTTCAATGAATGCAAGCTTAATTATCTGGTTCTCAAGTAATTTGTTTCATCTTATCTTGCGTTTTATTCGTAAATGCAGGTAAATATTGATCTGTATCAAATTTAAATATAGCATCAACTTTAGGTCAGATGTTACTCAACGTTTTTGGCAGTCAAGAAAAAGCTGAGGAAGCTGTACTTGTACTTATTTCTTCGTCAATTAAACCTACCACTCTCACAGGTTTTCCAGCCTTCCAGTCCTTTGCCTTTACTCTTTCCTTCTCCGACAATGGCGCAGCACAATTCCTGGCCAAAGCTCGGTTCATTTTAGTCAACTTTTGATCACAAGACTGTTCAGCAACCCGCTTGTTGCCCGACAAATCTCGTCCACCACTTCCAGTGTAGTAAAACTCGTCTCCGTTGTCCTGTTTGAAGGCAAATAAATCGGCTAAAAGTTGAACAATGGATTTCAGATAAGTCATCAGTGTTGGTTGTTTGCAAATACAATCAAATGAGATAGAAAAACTTCCAAAATAGATAGACAAATTTTCAATCATACCCAATCATCTTCATATCCACCTGCCAACACAATTGAAAACGCGCCTTCGTTATCGCGACCATGAATACCGCTGACATGAGGACGATGGACGCCGGCTTCGCTCGCCTAAGGATAATCAGCAAACGCAGCGATGTCAAACTTTTAGTCAAATTATACGACAATTTATACTACGTAACGTTTGGTCTGTAGATACTACGACCAATGACAAGGTTCTTCGAGGACCTGTTGAAACATTAAACGTTTAAACATAACCATTGAAACATATACCATTAACCATGGTATCTACAACGTTTTATTGACAAAATTGCAATGGGAACGGCGAAACAAACGTTTTGTTTAAAGTTTGAGCTTTCTAGCCTAATAGTCACAAAACGTCTTATAACTAACAGATAACTATCATAAAGTATCGACGCTAAAACCAATTGAGGTAGTTTTGTACTGTTGTCGCGTTAAGAGCTGTGAAAATTTGCAGAAAATCGAAAATATAGAATAAAAAAATTAGAAATTTGATAACAGAAAGAACTTTCTGGTCATGTCATAGGCAGTCCACAACTACGTGGTTTTTGTTATTAATATAAATGAATAAAGAATTTGTCTCGCATTGATCGCTTAATCTCGCACGTCAATCTCGCGCGACGTTCGTGTGACGTTTAGTCTTATCGGTTTATTAATTAGACAAGGTAGGCAACTAAAGTAAACAAATCATTGACCGTTAACATAAACACTTTAAAAACTCGCGAAAAAAACTATTAACTAACTAACATTAATGAAACAAAAACTACAGCCAATTGAAAACGGATGAATTTACTACATTCTTACCAGTTTTCAAGATTCAAATCCTTTCCGAAGCATGTAAAAAAGGCGAGCGTTTTTGGCCTTTCTACCTTTTTTTTTGTGGAAATCTATGCTGAGGTCACCATATCAGTCCCCTCGTCATCTTTTTGAATTTTTATCGTTCCTTCATTGGTGGAAAGTTTGCTTATGAAATATTTTACCAATTAAGGAACGATAAAAATTCAAAAAAGATGACGAGGGGACTGATACGGTGACCCCATCATAGATTTCCACTACAAAAAGATAGAAAGGCCAAAAAACGCTCGCCTTTTTCACATGCTTCGGAAAGATTTGAATCTTGAAAACTGGTAAGAATGTAGTAAATTCATCCGTGTTCAATTGGCTGTAGTTTTTGTTTCATTAATGTTAGTTAGTTAATAGTTTTTTTCGCGAGTTTTTAAAGTGTTTATGTTAACGGTCAATGATTTGTTTACTTTAGTTGCCTACCTTGTCTAATTAATAAACCGATAAGACTAAACGTCACACGAACGTCGCGCGAGATTGACGTGCGAGATGGAGCGATCAATGCGAGACAAATTCTTTATTTATTTATATTAATAATAAAAAACCCGTGAGTGTGGGCTGCCTATGGTCATGTATAACAATCTCACCCCGATCCTAAAAAGCCATGAAGATCCAACTGGTATTCCCGGAATGGGACCAAAATGATTCGACGGAACCACCGTACAGATTTTAGTTCGTCCAATGCAGGCCATACCCTAGCAGCCAACATCAAATATATCAGATTTTTTTCGCAATTTGAGCATGCGCATAAAATTCTCAATAAACTAGCCATGCTTATAAATCTGTGTTGCATTTAAAGCGTCGTCGCAAAAACTTAAACATAATTCATTTGAACAGTCAATGACTTACTCGACCCCAGTCACGGGTGCTTTGAGAGTTGGCGGATGCCATTTTCTGTTTCTTTTTTGTTGTTCGCATTTTTTCACCAGCCTTGATAACTTCAGATGAATCCACCTTACATGATGGGCAGTACCTAACAGAAGGAGTACGGAACAATTGAACCACATAGGCGAGGCAGAAGTCAAGACGGTGTCTTGAAACAGAATCAACAGGCTGAACAATTTCAATATATCCTGAAATCATGACGACACCTTGTGAGAAAAAATGTAAAAAATTGACTTAAGATGAAGAATGAAGACTATTTTTCGTTATAATGATGTTGTGTCTTACATCAAGAAACGGTACTTTTCCAATCGTACGAAGTTATGCAAATTATACGCCGGAGTCAACAAAACATTTCATAAAGGTAAATCTACTCCATAGCTCTAACGTTCTCGAGATTTGAAGTCATATATTGACTGACGAATACCATTACGTAATGCAATCATCTAATACCCTTAGAATTACAAACACTGGAGATGAACTCCGAATGGAATCGATACTACCATTCATCGTCATCGGGTATTTTCTTCAGCGGTGGGTTCAAACAGTAGATATGATACGCCATGTTACACTCATCACATAGTAACTGCTTGTCTGGGTCTTCTTTACCTCCACACTAATGCATGAAAACAAATAAAACAAATCAACTTTTACATATTCGACTATCACTATATTTAGCTGAGTGCTCACGCACACTCCTCAAATATCACTATAGAAGCGCGGTTACACAGCTTGACTATCTAGAGTGATTACACTCATTGACTAGTGCTACCAATATGGATATACGACAGACTGTCGTTATACGCGTGGTTCCACAGCTTTCTACACACATATCGAAGCAAAACGGAATAAGCAGACGAAATGACGTCGATCGATATTTTCGATAGCAGAAGAATGTTGACGCATTTTCTTAATGTACGTCACAACAAAAAAAAACCTCGACTCCAAAACATCGTCATAAAAACATAAATGACGTTGAAGTCAACTCAGGACTTGCGCGGAAACAGTTTTAATTCTCCAACAAAAAGACAATAAAGTGGATAAACTGCTTAAACTGAAACTCGAAATAAAAATCACGTACATAGATTATTTGACTACTGTACAACCCCAGAACAAGAAGTATCGCAGGCCGACCAGCAATTAAACAAACATAAGGACAAGTAAAGGAAAAGATTGCGGCTCCCACACCATTTAATATTTATTCATTGGGAAAAATAAACTTTTTGTCATATGAGCAAAAATGACTTTTTAGTGTCATCAAATTTCAAAATAATGTCATCTTTCGTCTTCTATCATCCAACTAAATTTACGTTAATTGCAAATCTCGGATTGTTGATTTTAAAATAATAGAGTTTATCCAAAAAATCATGCTGCAGTGTTTGACAATGATTGGATGGATTTGTTTACAACACTGAACGTCACCACTTGTTCAAATTAAGCATTTCCATCAAACAACAAATGTTTTGTTGGTTACTATACCTGACAGGCAACATCCAAAATACAACTTACACAATTGATGAGCTGTTTTAATGCAAACAATTCGAGTTATAATTGGATAATATATGTAAAAACCGAATAATTCAAAAGTCAGCTCCAATATGAAACTCCAATATTAATCAAGCGTTTTAAACTTTTGCAAAAAAAAGGACTTTAGGTAGTTGCTATTACTTGTGAAAATCGTATCAACAGCTCGATCGTACAGAAGAAAAGCGATAACGAAACAATTGGTATCATGTTATACTGACCATTTTTTTCGGGCGTTGCATGAATAAGTTTTCCCAGAAATAAATTTACAAGAAAATAACTCAAAGTTTTTAACTACCGTAGAGCATGCGCAGTGCTTGCATGGTTTCAGTGGGTCGTCTTTACAGATGTCACAATCAGGCTTGTTTTGACCTAAAAATATCAAGGTGAAATGAATTCTCAATTTCTTGGTGATGTAACATCTTCCCTTCCAAACAATTAACATTTTGCAGGACTTGATACCGCCCCTTATCACTGGAAAGTTTTCATTAAAACTGGATTAGGCACTAATGTTCGCGTTGTAGTTTCGAAATAAAAAAAGTATTGTGGAGAAAATTTCGTTTCACAAACAGCTTAAGAGTTGAGGCAGGATGTAGGAAGTAGAAAACAATGCTATCTGAATCTGTTAATTTGAAGAATCTGTAAGCTAGACTGAGAGTTGTATCGTTGGACATAATATGACATACGATCAGTAAAAGTCTAAAACATACGTACGTTTGATCACACTGGACTCATCTTGAGAACATTGCTCTCCTTCTACAAAGAAATGAAATAAAAATTGTTATATATTAAGACGATTAAAATGAATTAATAATGAGTTCAATTAATATAAATTAATAATGAATTAATAATGCCATTATTAAGTTAAGAAATTGAAAAACATGATTAAGGTGTTCACTAAAAACATTACCCGCAATAAGCTTAGTCAACTTAAAATTTAATAGTAAAAAGTTTAATCAAATCGCACTACGTCGAGCTCAGTGAAACACTCTTTTAACAGACTGATCTGTGTATCGTCTCAAACAGCCCAATACTATTTTTAATGACTGCGTTTATTATTGTTTACATATTCACCATTTTTTAAAGGGTAGTTGGATACACAAAGTAAATGCGAAATATTTCATTTTTCACGGACACATATATATCTAAAAACTATAGTATAAATATTAAACAGATACAAAGACACGCTCAAAAGTCAATGTTATGAAAAAAACATTTAGATAACAATAAGGTGGCGTAGCCTATGTTATAGACGATACTGCGCAAAAAATATCGAAGAAAATCTCACCCAAGCTTACGTCATATGACTCACATCTGTGCGAGGTTTTGCATGAATTAACTGCGTCAAACAAAATTTATTCACTTTGTAATGACAACATGGGTAACACAAGGACCGTGAAAGTGAATGAAATAATAGATAAAGAAATAATCAGGCTCGGTTGCTGATTTTTGCAAGTTGAAATTTTACGCCTTCTCATCTCGCTGAAAAGAGTCGGGAAAACTGTTTGTACTGGTTGTCTTGCCGCAGTTGTCAAAATATACGAAATATCAACGATGGGACAATTTTTGTACTGATTATACACATGCGTAATCAAGCCTGTACAACCAATACAAATAATTGTCCCATCCAGCGGGATGATAAGGCGTAGAACATTTTAATAAACAGAAATCATCAAGCAAAGCTCGTTCTTTCTTTCAGTTTTACTTCATTCAGGACGACAAACTCCTTGTGTTAGCCATTGCTGACGAAGCAAAAAAATATATACACACGACAAGCATATGCTTGTAGAGCATCACGGGAAATTTAGTAAGAATAGTAATATTTTGACTAACCATTTAAGTTGGGTATTTCAAATATTTCATCAATGAACAACAGCTCGCATTCTTCCGATATTGTTTCGTTTTTGTTTTCACTTTGACGAGAGGAACAACAAAATACTGTTCACAAACTTGATGTCACTTGCATCCCCAAATTTTAAAAGTATAACCGCTTACTTCAGTATTATCTTGGCACGAAGTTTCTTACTTCCACGAGTCGTCGACTCGCTCTAAAACACAATAACGCAACAAAATAATTCAAAATCCTTCTAAGGAGCTGTTCATTTGAGCCCGGTAGCCGGGATTCAACGAAGCGTTAAATCATTTTGGCAAATGGACACGATTAAAGTGGTTATATCACGAATTTTAGCCCCCCTTTTTTATTAGCTAAATTGAAAGACCTTGTTTCAGTGATTTTAAATCTGCAATTATAATTGAAATTGGATTGGTGAAAGTGATTTTACGGACGTTCAAAGTCACGATTTTCAGCATTTTTTTTGCGAACTTTTTGATTGGTATGCTAATGACTTGTGACGTAGAAAGTTGAACACATATATCAACATGGCGTATTCTACTAGTAATCTTAATAAGAAACGCGGAAGAAAACGCTGTGTTGCTGGCGGACCTAATCAAATTAGTTGCGCCAATGATTCAAAAACCGAAGGAATGTCGATGCATCTGTTTCCTAAAAAAGAAACAGAGACGCAAAGACATAGAAAATGGGTAAATTTTGTGCGTAAACATAGACCGGGTTTTGAGGCTTCCTCTACCTCGTGTCTGTGTTCTGCGCATTTTGAAGATTCTTGTTTTGACCTTAATTTGAGCGTGTAAGTCAAGCTCAAAAGAAGGTTGAAGAAAGATGCTTTCCCAACCATTGACGTGGCTGGGATTCCTGAACCATTACAGGACGAAATAACCGATCGAAAGCGAAGACAAGTAAGTTTACGCTTGTTTATGTTAATTTTTCTTTTGTCATATGTAAATTCGATATAAGTTTTGTAGATTATTCGACATACTCTCCATAAGCCATCGCTGAAGGAAACATGTTCTCTCAATGAGGAAGTACCATCTACTAATGATGAAGCTGAGCATGTTTAAGTATGCACTGGGGAAGCAAACGATTCGCCATTTGAACGGCTTCCTATTTTCCATTTTTACATTTATGCTATGATTTAATTCCATATATTTTTTCTTTTGTCTTTTTTCCCAGACTGACATTGAAGAAAAGATATTCTTTCATTTAATTCTTTCGGCTTAACCACTCAGTAGTTGCACCAATTTGTTTTTATTGTTTACTCTTGTTTCAAACCATTAAACTGCATGTCAACTTTTATAGTGCATCCATGTATCTCCTATTTGGTTTTCATCTAGGCATATTTCCTGACCATTCCAAACTCAGCAAAGAAGGTCAACAGTCTCTACAGTGCACAAGTTAAAAGACTATTCCATCATCGCCCCTCTGATGGTATGTAACCTGTTGTGTTACCACTTGGATATGCTTTCCGAATAAAGTGGTAAACACAAGCAGGTAAAGGCCGAGTATTCTCCCATCCCATAGACCCACAAAACCATCGCATCAACCATCTGTATGCCACAGCTCTCAAGTACCTGAAGTAAATAAAAAGGTTGGACTAATTATTGTTGATGAAAAAATGTTGATTATAACATTGTTTCTCATACAATTTACATTCTTACATATCTAATGATTGTGATGCTTGGCGGCGATAAGCACGTCCATTCCTATCTCTCAATAGTGGCCCGACGTTTTCAAGGACAGCCTCATGAACAAAAGGCCCAAATTTGGCATGCTGTGTTATGCATGATATTTTCTCAATGCTGCCATCGAATGTCATTTTCTGCAAAGCTGGTCCAATTTCCTTACCGCATCTGTAGTCTAATGCGCCTTCTAACTAATCGGTATGACAGCATTGACAATTACACCTGAAACGTGGGAGCATTCTGGTTTATAAATTAACTTTATGTATATTACAAACAGGAGAAAACAACAACTTACCATTCACCGAGTGGAATTACGCCATCACTTCGTTGTTCTAATGTCGCAGGGAGAATTCCATCGGGATCATCTGGAGTATGCACTTCATCACCATCTCCTGCTAGCGGTTCATCGTCATATGCGAAGTCGTTTAAATGCTCGACATAACCCACGGATTCCGAGCTCGAATCAGATACGCATTCAGACATCGAATTCGAATTATCTGAGCACTGATTTGAGGCCATACTTTCCGGACAACTTGTTTTTTAATATTTTATTGAAAATACTGTCATTATTTGTTTTTAAGACAAGAAAAACGACAACAAAATCACCTTCTATAATATAATATTATATTGACGGAAACAGACGTGTTCAACTATCTACGTCACAAGTATCAATATGGCGTCGTAAAAAATTCGCAAATAGTACCCGACTTTGGAGGCAAAATTAAGCAACTTATATTTATCTGTTTACGTCCAGCGACATGTCATAGTTCTTCAAATAATCCAAATTTTCAATTAAGTTCATAAAAAAGGGGGGCTAAAATTCGTGATATAACCACTTTAAAAACTTCCCAACAGAAAACTTATTTGAGCAATTTCTCTATGCTCTGACTTTGCAAGTTCACAAAACCTTTCAAATGAAAACAAACAATTCCAGCCTTGATTTGAAAATTATGACTAAAATGGAATTATGACGCTTAGAAGGTTGTAAGTTTTACGCTTAAAGTTTTACTCCTTTCAATTACTAAAATCATTTCACGCCTCGCTATATTCCGGTTAGCGGCTCATGTGAACAGCGTCATAAGTAAGTCATGTTCGTCGTAATTTTCAAATGTGGAGTATATAAGCTTTGTGATTTTTGCATGGTTTCAGTTCTTGAGACACGTTTTAGCGAAAATGAACAAAAAGGCATGGACAAAGCACCATATTCACTTTAAACGTTTCACCAGTAAAGTCGTGCAAGTACTTAAGACCTTTCAATGTGTTGAAGATCTGGTTTAGGCAATGTTGTAGAGGCGTAACTAAAACGTTATATGGGGTATATTCGTATATTCCGTTGTGACCTATTGATTTCTTCTGGAAGTGAATTGAATTAGATGATCCTGCCATGATCATGTATGGTCCTACAAGTCCTACAAGATTGTAATAATTACGGCGAATCGAAAACTTGAACAATATTTGTACGTCAGGTCAGACTAACAAAGACCTAAAAATTGGGGTTTTTTCTTCAATAATCTTAACAGATAATATGAATTAATAGGAAAGGATCGTGGAGATGAAAATTTTGCACCTGCAATCAAAATGGTTGCCACAAAGTGAGTTGAATATAAGAAATATCTTTATTTATAGCGCTTCATCTTCATTTAAGTTGTTTTTAAAGCCATGCTTAGTATACGAGACCTTCGTGAGGTCCATTGATTTTTTCAACTCATGACTGCTTGTAGAAGCCATTCAAAGGCAAATTACTCCCCGTTGTTTCAGGTTATAAGTTCTGTTGGTTTTTTAGTGTTATAGATTAAGATAAGAATGCTAATGTACAAATGCTACGTGGTACAAACATTTGAGATCTTTAGCTGGATTTATACTATAAATCAAATTTTTAAAAGTTTCTACTTTCTTTCTGATAAATCCTGTTGTATTTATCTTTCTAAACAAAATGATGTGAGCAGCAACAACAACAACAAAAACAGAACTGTGTAATACGCTATTAAAGTCCTAAGACAGTTATGCACGTAGAGTAAAGACGAATGGACTGAACGATCACGATGAAAAACAACAAGTAGTAGAAAACTCACTTTTCTCATGACTTTTACATCATACCAGAAACCCCTTTCCTTTGGATTGTCGGTGTTATAGTTCGCCATTACAATCTTTCCGACCGTAATCTAAAAAAAAACCCCGCCGCCTTACGTATATAATCTACAAGCGTGCATAAAGATCATCAAAAGTGATAGTCGGAAAGATTTTAGTCTTTACTTGATCCCATGACAGTAGAACACTTGCTCTCGGTCGAATATCTTTTTCCATTAGTTTGACAGCTTCGTCATCTTCGTAACTACACAAAAACAAGAAAAAACGGTTAACCAAAAGTTTTTGACTCTTACCACACCGAGTGATCATTTTATAATATAATACAAGAAAGGTTCTGTGGGGAGGGGGGAGGGGGCAATAGCAGTGTAGTAGAGATCGTTGGACTATTAGGGAGCTTTAGCAATGACTACGAGTACGATTTACGTCATTTTGGCGAGAAAACATTGTTGCGACAACAAAAACATGTAGCCGTCATCAATCTGAGTACAATGTTTTAGGAAAAATCTGTAGTCGCGGACTACGATGTCTTTTAAGCAAAGAAAGTAGGTATATTTTTCATTGTGTAAGAAATTAGTTTACAGTAATTATTTTCGAGCATGCAGGCTTTTACTTTAGGAACCTTTTTTAGCGCAGATGTACATTAAAAAGGAAAATATGATCTGCAAAACTTTCTGTATTTCGCACGCAAAATGAAAGGTAAACAAACAATAAAATAGTACAAATATATCGTATAAACTTAAAATAGTGAAGATTTTCAGTCTAAAGATCCTATATTCCCGCAAAATCAGTATTACCGATTCGTTGATATCATTATTGACAAATAGAGCCGTAGCTGCTTCGCAAACGTCTGTATTTTTTCACAATAAAAAGACTCGCTCTGTTGTTTATAGCTAAAACAAAATTTTGACGAAGCGACAACGACAACAAACTTCCTCGTGCCATTCTCTTACACGGTCAAACTTCGTACTCGTTGTCGTAGTCGTACTCTTGCTAAAGCTCCCTATTGAGGTGACAGTGGCTACACATGAAAATAATTTACACAAAATGTCAAATAAACGAACAAAAGCAATATGAATTCAATATAAACAATATTACAAAAAAAAAAACAAAAAAAGAAATGACTTGTGGTCAGTCTTAGGCATAGAATTTGGTAGTAAATCTGACATTTTTCTCCTTAAATAAATTAGCCAATTATTTCATTTGAAATAATTTCATACAATGCAGCAAAACTGCAATCGTTTTTCGAGCAGTACAATCTCGAGGAAAGAAGCCTAACAAAACTTCCACGCAGTTGCACCAATTGACATACAATGAATGAGGCTGTTTTGTTTGAAACATACTGTAACTTCCTACTAATAATATATGTATATGTTGAGACCCGGGGAATGAGTGAAAACACTTCATAGAGAAGGCGCCTTTAAGGAAACATTGGGTTCACGGAGAACCTTTGACAATTACTAGAATTGATGTACAATGACCTTGTCTTAAAGAATGAGTATCAGGATCATGCTTTGCGCGCTTGGTTGGCCATTTTAAGGGATCCCGAAAATTGCGGTTATAATATGTTTGATTTGACTACATAAGTACAGCATATAAATACGGCGTGAATATCGTAGCAACAGTCAAACTATCAACCATAAATACTTTCTTTAAATAAATATGATCACATAAGTCAACAAACGAAACAAAACCTCTACTGAATACGCATCGGATTGCTTATCCAACGAAAGTGCACAAAAGTTCCCTTATATGAAAACATAAACATTAAGCACGCAAAGCCAGACCCTTATACTCACTCTTTAAACATAGAGCTTAAATAACAATACTTATGTCCTGCCGTGTTCCATTAAAACAGTGAATTTCCAACCTACCCATCAAACTCGACATGATAAAGTATTTTGCTTGGATCTGAATCACAACTAGCAGTAAATCCAATAATTTTGCCTCAAACCAAGCGCCCATGTCACAGTCTTTGCATCAATGATATCTCCAATCTAAAATAAGGTTTAAAGTTTCACAATATTAACCAATAGCTACTGACAGGTAGAAATGAGTTGATCTGGTAATGGAATGCATACGAATATAAAAGTTTTAAATGTGGTTTTTTATATTGTTAAAAACACCTAGCAAGCAAACATTCAAAATTGCCTATTGTCACCACTGTTAATCGCTAACTCTGACATTGTGTTTCTTGTATTTTCAAGACGATATTTTACGATTTTTTGTCGGAACGACCACAATTCACCAACTCACTAACTCTGTAAGTTTTGACCCTGTGGGTTACACCATTGCGTACAAATACATTGTATGTATTTAGTATAATTGACAAGAGGTAGATCATTTGTTATTTGTACCTTGTACAGTCCTTTCATTTCAATGCTGGACTTGCCATCTTCGTTTTTCGTGTCATTCTTAAAAAAAAACACTTAATTTAAGATAGTGGCGAAGGCGGCCAGAACCTTTACTCCGGCAGTTCAAACTTTTCATCACTCTCATTTTTTGTAAAACTAATTCCGTTCACATTTACCACTGATTTTTAAAAATATAGTAGGCAAACTTTGTTAACGCTAAAAAGTCATGAACTAATTCTCGTAAAATAACCTTCAACGCATTGACAAACTAAATTAGAACACGTTAAACATAAATTGCATTAACCCTTCGCACCTGAAAGTTTACAACATGACTCGTTTGAATTTTTGGTTTGCACTAAAAGTACATGTGTTCTGTAATGAAAGCCACACACCAAGACATTTTTTGTTCCGGTGCATAAAGATTTTAATAACGTGAGACAGTTTAACCAGTGTGAGAATTAGTTCAGAAAAAACGATGTGCAATTTTTTTGACAAAAGTGTTTCTTTAGAGGCATAATCAAATCGATATTACGTTAATTATTATATAGCGCTAAATGCTAAATTAATATTTTTAAACGTGAACAAATTCATATGATTTACGACAGTGTTTTTCGTTAAAACCGCTGATTTCTGCACATCGTTTAAAAAAGTGATGTGCAATTGTTTTCATTTTAGCAAAAACGATGTGCAAACTGCACATTGCACACCGTTAACTGCACATTGTGCAAACTGCACATTGCACACCTGGTTTAACCATATAAGTTAGAATTATTCAGCCCATCAAGGACCCTAAAGTTACAACACGCAAGTAATACGTTTTCTTCTACTTCTTTTTTAAAAAAAAACTTTGTCTTTGCATACAGGGCCTTATCAATAACTGGTAAGTTAGTGGCCAAGTTTATGGGCTGAGACCACACACACCTTCTGTTGAGTGATGCTCATAAACCACAGAAACATGTTAAGGAAATAGTATGTGCGTAGTTTGGTTTACCAATGTATTCGTTCCCACACGGCTAACAGCCAAGGAACAGTTATTGACGTTAGTTAAATTTCCTTATGTACCATATATAGCTTAAATAGAGGAACTATTCCGACCAATAATAACATTTGTTATTTGTAATAAAGAGTATAAATACTGCTCTGTAAAATAATAAAAATCAGTTCCATCATTAAGTTCACTTGTGGTTGTTACTGAAGGTATAGAGTATATTATGAAAAGAAAGAGATATGGCGAGTAACTAGTACTCAACACCCTCATGAAAACCATTCATTTGCTCTACATTGCAAGTCATCACTCTGTATGTACGTATGTATGCAAGGCTCATGTAAAGTTTTCCACTCATGTAAAGAAAAGTTTATGGGCAGTTTAAATGTAAAACTTATGAGCAGCTTGTGTGAAGTTTTTAAATACTCAAAAAACAGTTTAAGACAAAGGAACATACACTTTATAAGTAGTTATAAAACATTTTATGAGTAATCAATGTAAAATTTATGATGAGCTGATGTACATTTTTTACTTAACAAAGAACAATTTATGAACAACTAATTTAGTAAAGTAAATTTAGAAGCCTTTCACCATTTTTTCAGACAAAAAAATGACTTAAATAATTTATACTCACACATCTATCAAGTGCCTTGATTTTATTTTCATTTTCTGATATTTTTTCCTTGGTTGATGCTGATAAATTTGCTTCCATTGGTAAGAGAGGACGAATCATTAACTGGATGATATCATTAAGACCAACATCATAGTCAAATAGTGTATGCCCGCTCTCAAGCTACAGTTACAAAGGAAAAAAAAACAAAAAAACTTATTGATGATCTCACTCATTATCATTCTTCATTCTTCAAAATTATTTTAAACAATTCAGAAACAATTTTTCCATATCAGGATGCTCTGTAGTTCTTTTATGGATAAACTAAATAAAATGAACTAAAATATTCATTTGAGGTCTTTAGTCTTCGACACACAACATCCCGATTCAAATAAGTGACGTTGTTGATGTTTGATTAAAATATGACTGCATTTTAGTAAAAAGTGATTTAGAAAGTAAACATTTTCAGAAATTGTTGAATCCAACAACCATACATACGTACATTTCACAGAGGTTCTTAATTGGAAAGATTTAACTTCAAACTGATTATGCTGGATAAAATTAATGTAGAAAACGTTGAACTGAGTTTGGTATAACTTTTCACATAAATAAAAAATAATCTTGCTTTGTGCCCACTTCTTAGTGATTTAAAAAGATGAAAATGTAAGTGCTATAATACATTAATGCAACAATTAATTTCTAGTTCCAAGCTCACTTGCTTTCCACGATAAAACAACCTTTGCCGTGTGGGTTCAACATCAAATAGTGACACAAGCTTTTCTTTTAGATCATCTATGCCAGTGAGTTTGCTCAGATTATCCACTTGGACATTCTGCTTCCCATCCATAGTTCGAACTTGGATCCACATTTTTCTATAAACAATTCAATCCATTTTTCAACAGCTTACACTTTAGACACAACAATACCCCAAACCCCAATAAATCTTTTATTGACTAAAAAAATTTCATCATCAACCAATTTCATATGAATCATAATTAATACATCCTGTCCCCAAGTGTGTCACAATTAGCTAGAATTTTTAGATAAATGGGAAGACACATTGCTTTCTAACTTCTTTATATATATGTTCATGTTTTACTTGACATTATCATATGAATTATTTTATATATACATAGTTTAACAAAAAAAACTTTTCTTAACAACTCAGGGTCAAGACTATTTAACTAACTGGTTACATAAAAAGGAGGGGGGGAGGATGAATCTGTTTGATATTCGTCATATATGATATAAACAAGTCTCGTTTTTTGGTAATTAGTGCATGTCAGTCGCCAAAACAATAATTTTTTGAGTAATTTTTATTGAAACACTACGTAAAACAAATTACAGGTAATGGATATCTACTTTAGACACATGAATATTAAAATATTAAAATCAGTAAACTACAGAATTTGAATTAATTATTTTGTTAAAATTCAGTTTATTCCTATCCTGATTGTTTTGTATGAATGTGAGTTGTTCTGGCTGATTTAAGCCTTGTTAAAAATTCTGCAAAGCATGTAATCTAATGTTATTCTTTGGCAACATATAAATACAATTCAAGAAACTTAAATATAAAGACTAAAATGCAGAAACTCCTCAAAAGTAAACTATAATATCCTTCAACCCTTTCCCCTCTGATCATGGTTAGGACACTTACACTATATTTACCAATTAATGTCCATTGTCTGTTGTTTTGCCTAAGGTTAACTTGTCTGTTTAGATTAAAAAATGATAGCTTTAGAGTTTTGATTATACATGCAATGAAGATCAATTCGAAAAACAAACTCAGTGATGCATTTAATATTGCAGACTTTACATAACATGCAAATTTTAAAACTATTGAGCTACATATATTGGTAGTTTAACACTTCACTAAACTAGACATTTGCTTTCACAAAACATTGTCATTCAAATAACAGGATTCCCTTTATATCATGCATGCTTGCAGTCAGATATCAAGACATTCAAAAATACAAATAGCTAGTACTTGAAAATATGATGACCTAAAGAAAAGGATGTAATATGTAATACATATCTAGGTCATTCTCCGATGAAAAATCAACCATCAAGTAATAATTCTTTGCTTTCATACACAGCTAAAAGCAAACAACAACAACCACCATCGCGGCCAATAAAAATAAAGCTAGTCATATTTATATTTTCCACCCACAGCAGCCATGAAAACCATCGAACTTTGTCTCCCTTCCCATTCCACACAAATAACAGACAGTACTAACAACAATAACAAATGGTTCATAAATACATTTTTAATAACGCAACAAATACAACCATTGCATGAGTGCGTTTGTACTATAATAATGGCTGGGTGGGCAATGACAGTTCGTCTTGATCAAGTCGATATTACCCAATATATATTGAACAAACGATTTACCATTGCAAGCATAAGCGATCATTTTGAAAAGTATACATATCATGCAATATAAAAGCTCAAAAAAAACCCGTGTACAAATGGTAGCATAGAAAACTCGCAGCTACGTAAATCGGTCAGTAAATACACAAACACGTGGGGACGCATAACATATGATAAATTAATAGATTTACATAAAAATAAACAATAAACAATCTTTTATTTCTACAGACCTTGCCTTCGAAGTAGAGATTTCGTAGGACTGAAGATATGGCAGCGAACAAATTAATTTTACTTCTGATTACAAATTTATAATTGCGGAAATCTTATGAGTAGTTGTATGAGCATGGTGTCGAAGCTTGAAGCCTTGGATCGGTAATTACGAAATGAAAGGCGGATTGAGGGGAAAACTTTCAAACTTCTTTCCATCTATGGCAATTACTTTCACGTTTCTCACAAAATATCGAGCAAAGAGAATCGTGTTAACTCTTTTACGACCTGCATGTTATAATAATTTATTTCTTTTTCATTAGTATGATACACAATCTTAATTTTTTAGCTATAAAATGTTTGTGAAATAGTTGCATTCAACGAAACGCACAGTAAATTGGGCTTCTAATGATTCGCAAGGAACTTTTGCAATTTTCTTTGTTAGTCTAATTTGTTATTAACATTATCACATGTGACAGGAAACGTTTTAGAGAAAACTCATTATTCTTTTCGTACACGACAGGGATGGCATTTTATTTACCTCAATATTGGCATGTACGTCTAAAAAATTAAAAATTTATGCAAAAACAACCAAAGACCTTGTATGGCATTTTACAATGTTTGTAATTAGACTTTTTAATGGTTGGTAGTGCATGCAACATGCAGCAAAAAAAGTACTTCTGAGAAATTGCTACTCAAAATTGATTTAAACAAACATCCTCCAGAGGGTTAAAACGGCCATGGACAAGAAATAAAAAAGTGACCTCGTTGAACAAGATGTTTTCAAAACAATGAAAATTATTAACGAAGCGATTCATGAAGAATCCAGAATAAAAGAAAAGGTGGAAGATGAAGATACCTTGTTTTGCATGAGTCTGGTAGCAAAATTCAAAAGAATTCCTGAAAGATATAGATCATTGCTTCAAATAAATATTTTAAAGGTATTTAATTATATGTAGTGATACATCACCCAGTCAGCTCAAAGTCCAACACAATTGATGCAAGAGGCACCTCCCCATCATTTTACATCATCTAATGCTGCACTTAATAATTGGGGTCTAAACTTTCAAGGATAACAAAATATGTTGTTTCATAAATTATAATCAAGTTCTTTAATGTTAAATAATTTTCACAAAAACATTATGTAACTGTAGTTTAAACAGTTTTTGTTAAGTTCTTTTTCAACAAAAATTTAGATTGTTCCAAAAATTGTCACATGCGTTTAGTACTTAAGTTTTATCACTTTTTTTTCAATAAATCCTTTCAAATGCCATAATATAATCAATACTAAATTATGAATCCAGAGTTCTGCCCTAATTTTTTACATGAGTTAGCTGCCAAGGCAAAGGGCCTTCTTCACTATTAAAATCGGAGAGAAGATTCTCTATGGCTGTTTTTTTATTTAGTGAGTAAGTATTACTTCCTACTCCTCTAAGTCGAAGCAATGCACCATCCTCTTCCTCCACAATACTGCGCCATTCACCAGATATTATGTTTCCACTGCTGTTCTCTGAGTCTACAAATCCAGTAGGAACATAGTGGGCATTATCAGTTGACTGTAAGTAGTTATGCCAACAAACACTGGCCTGCGTGTTACTGTCCACAGTATCAACGCTTGTTTTGATTGGACGTAGAAAAATTCTCCACCTAGCAGACAAATTGCAGAAAAATTTTCAATGGTGTGTCTGGCTCTTGACAACCTTTAATTAAAAAAGCTTAAGGGAAGGTAAGACCTCTACCAGGAAATGGTTTCATAAGCTATGTCTTTTCGGAAAGCTATCATCCGCAATTAATGTAGGGAACCATATAACCAGAAACATTGGATTGTTCGGGGACTGGAAAGTTTCTATTTTCAAAAGCTGAATAGAAATGGCTATGGGGAAAAATGGCAGTATCATTATCTCCTCGAAAATTTCCAATGTTTACATAAGTAAAGCAATAGTTAGCATCACATTTTGCCATGAGAACAATGCTGTGAAAATTTTATCATTGAAAATGTGGAGCCAGTATTTTTGGACATTGAATGGAGATATGCTTTCCATCCAGTGCACCTATACAATGAGGAAAGTTCACTCATCCTGGAAATCATTAGCAATTTGCAGCCAGTCACTTGTAATTTGTTATCTTTCAGTTAGAATAGGTCGAACCCTAAACATACAGGGTTTTCGTTTCAACTTTCCCTGCTTTTATATTTTAATTTGAGAAGAGCAAACGTAATGATAATTGAACTCTGAGCAAAACCTTCCTATTGACAGCCGCCATTTTCACTTTTCGAGAGTAAATCTAAGTTGCAAAGATGCTGGCTAACTAGCTGTAAACAAATACCCCCGCGAAAGCTGCCGACGTTCACAGGCGTATTCGCAGGAAGAACGCCGGTAGCTGTAAACCATGCTCCGTGAATAAGTGCTGATGTCAGCTGTTCTATAGCTGCAGGCTTTCTACTATCGTCGTTTTCTCTTTGTACTTTGATCACATGATCTGCAAAATTAGTTGCGACGAAGGAGTTGCTTACGATTTATATGTATAGCCTTTGCATGTTGACTTAGTATCACACACAAACAATATAGGTAAGCTGCACGACCAACAATATATGAAAATATTTTATTAATAGGGGCAACAGCTGATTTTAGCATCTAGAATAAACTACATCAAAGATATTGTGAGCTACAGCTGGCGTGGGCAAGCCATGTTGTTTGTTTGAAAAGTGGCAAACAGTACAAATGGTTTGGTATAAGTCGACATTAAATATATGTTAGTGTTTGTGATATCATGTTCGGTATTAATTAACCAAAGACAAAGCAGTAATGTTAAAACAAATAAATCAAGCTATGCTATTTACAATATAACACAAAAAATATTTTGTCGTTAAAGCTAGAAAGTTACGTCGTACAAGAAGAAATGAAGATGAATTACATAATACAACACGATAGAAAAATGAATCAAAAACATCCAATTGCTATATTCGTCTTTCATGTTCAAAGTCGGATTACTGTTTGAGTATTTTCCAAAAAGCACGGTTATAGTAATTTGCATCAGTGCCAATACATTTCGGTGCTTTAAGCCAACCGCCTTCATCACCTGTTGTAAATAAGTATTAAATTGGACTTTTGTCTGGTGAATTGCTCAAAGAACTGGTATTTGAGTAACTTAGAAAAGAAATTCAAACACAATTGAAAATCACAGGATTGAGCACGTTCTGTATCGTTATAGAAAAACAAATATTACTTCACCTCGGTTTCCTTCAATTTTTGAGCCCTCCTGGAGCAAATAACGCTGTGTTTGCACATTGACAATGAAATACCTGTCCTCTCCTTGCGGTTCAAGTTTCCAGTAAGCTCGATCGAAGTAGTTTGCGTCAGCTCCGACACAAAGGGGAACTCCAAATCCTGGGTTACTCGTCCAATCGCCTTCTGCACCTCGATCACCCTTGATTTTGTTTCCATTTTGAAACAGATAGCGCTTGGTCTGCATATTTTTAAAGAGATACTTTCCATTACCTTGAGGAACAAACTTCCAGTAGGCTGTGTTGTCGTAGTTTGCATCGGCACCGACACAATTTGGACTTGACAACCAGCCACCTTCGACTCCTCTGTTGCCTTCAATTTTATCTCCGGCTGAGAACAGATATCGCTTTGTTAAAACGTTCTTAATTAAATATTTCCCGTCTTCAAAACAGGCCATTTCGATTTTAGTTAACTCCTACGTGTTTTGCAAATGTTTGGTGCAAAATAGAACAGCACATTATATAGAAAACAAAAATTAGTCATACTTTGGTGCTGTAAATTTAATTAGATTACTCGTTGTGGATAGTCACCTTAGTGCTCCTATTGGTCGAGAAAAGCAATTTACTGGTATTCACTATGCTAATGACATGTGGAACAAAAAAATTTAATAGAGTGGGATTACTGTTTGTTTCTATACTGTGGCACAGCCAACAATGTTGCTGGTCTTTTTGAAGAGAAATGACTGCGAGTATATGCATATTTGCCCTCCCCCAATTATCGACGTCCCGTCGTTCCTGAAGGTTTTATAGTTTAAGACCTGTTTCAAACGTCGCATTTTACACGAGGCGAATGCATTTAAAACTAAAGATAATGAGGGATTTTATCTCATTTTCTATTGTTTTAAATGCATTCGGCGCATGTAAAATGCAACGTTTGAAACGGGCTTAGAA